CGCCCCCCCTTGTGCCCTTCAGGCAGCTTACTGTGGATCACAAGGCGGGTACGGGACGGGCTGATGCGGCGGATGCGGTGTGCGGGGCGGCCCTTGTGGAGCGGCAGAGGTTGCTGTCGCTGGGGGTGCAGCTCAGCTCCGACGGGTACCTGCAGGTGGGGACAGGAACCTGTCGTCCGGGTTGGGGATAAGTGGTTGTGGTTATGGTGGTTGTGGTGGTTGCGAACTCCAGGATTTACCTTACTTGGACTCGGACTCGGCGCATGTGTACTGACTGTCCATTACGCACTACGTAACTGTAATAACAACGGAATGTACGACAGTCGCGTTCCAACGGCGGATCCCACTCTTTCCTCTACATCGCCGTAACCGCACCGGACACGGTCTGCTACTGACCCCCCGATCCAATCCAACTTATCCATAACTCGATAGTGGAAGCTTACCCCGAAACCCAACCGTTCCAACCGCTTTTAACTTCTTCAACCGCTCCAAACCACCCTCATCTGCAGGTTACTGCCCCCGATGGATCCTGTTCCGACATCGCCGTCAGCCGCAACCTGGGGTGTGCGCACCTGAAAGACCGCTCCCTCAGCGGCAGGGGCAGCAGCTGGTGGAGCCCCTACCACCCACCCCACCAGCACATGCAACACCCACACGCCGCACAACGCCCTCCCAGCCGCGGAAGCCGCGGCCCAAGGCACTCCACCGGCAGCGGCGGCGCCGGCGCCGGCGGCGCTGCCGTACGGATCAGCGCCAGTGACCTTTCCGCCGGGGCGGTTGGCGGCAGTCGCAACGGAAGTGCTGGAAGTGGGGAGTGGGCATTGCGACATCAGTACCCGTATCCTCCTCCTCCTCCTCATCATCATCATCAGCAGCAGCAGCATCAGAACCGGCAGGGGCAGGGACAGACAACGCAGCAGCAGCAGCAGCAGCGGCACCGTTACGGATCGGCGCCGGGTTCAGTTTCCGGATCAGTTTCCGCGGGGCTTGAAGAGCTGGGGGGGGTGAGGGCAACGATGAACGAGAACCTCCCAGCTGGGTTGGGACTGCAAGTTCATCACCACCATCAGCAGCACCAGCACCAGCACCAGCAGCAGCACCACCAACGACATCATCATCATCATCATCATCATCATCATCATTATCAAGATCAAGATCAACTGGATAATCACCGCCTCCCCCGCCATCACCAACAACACGGCGGCGCGCAACACCAGCCCCCAGCAAGTTACCAAAGTCAGTCGCAACCTCAACTACAGCTACAGCAGCAGCAACAGCGGTTAGGTGCGGGTCATGGCTTTAACAACCAGCAACTACCAACGCACAACCAAACAAACCGACAGCACCAACAACGGCGCCAGGGCCAAGGTCAACACCAGCTGTATAACTCGCAACAGGTACGGCCGTACAGCTGTCGTACACGGACTGGCTTGTGACCAATAATTGCCAGCACAGTCGTCAAGCACGTTTGTATACGTATATGCAGTGACATGGCTGGAGTGCTATGTGGTTTGGGTTCGTTATTTCCGTTAGCGTCCGTTGCGATCTTCTTTCAAAGCTCGTTTGTGCCGGTGCTGTATAGCAAAGGGTTGCCCCTTCCTGTTACAACGTTACATTAACGAATTTGAAGGAAACGTTTTATGGCCGTAACGTAGCCACGATACGAGCTACAGCTCTGAGCAACGTGGGATCCCCTTTCTTGTTTGCGAATACGGCGTGGTACGGAGGGAGGTTTCCTTGCAACGGATAGGTAATTTTTGTACGGCAAACATATGTTGTGGCGTCAAGGAAACAGCTACAAATCTTAAAACCGTGCTCCTCATTGTGATCGGTGGTGATGCATCCCTCCGCCCCTTTGGATGTTTGTCGGTACTCTTACCCGTGCGCAGAGCACCGCGGGCTGCAGATTCGAGAGCTGCAGCGACCAGTCCATCCTGACATCATTTCCAGGGCCCAACCACCACAACTACCAAAACCGCACTAACAACCATAACCAACAGCAACTGCAGCCAGGTCAACATGGAACAACCGAGCCCATCAAGGTGGGGGAAGTCAACCTCAACCGTCTTAACGGCAATAACGACCATACTCCAACGGCCATGCCAGGAGCGCTGGGCCAGGTCCAGCCGGATGCTTCTCCGTCGACGCCAGAAGACCACCGTATGCCGTACGACTCGCCGACGGGCGTCAGCGGCGGTGGCTCGGAGCAGCTGGGAGCCGTACCGCCGCCGCCGCTGCCGGACCTTCCGCGTATTAGCACGGGCGTTTCCGGCAGCTCTGTACGAACATCGCAGCAGCAGCAGCAGCAGCAGCAGGGGCTCAGTCCAAAGCCACCCCGGCCGCCAAGCGGCGGTAGCGGAAGTCTGGGCTGTAGCAGTGGCAGCGGAGCAGGGACGTCGCTTCCATTTGCAAGCCCGTGGCGGCAGGGCCCATCTGCACCGCCCCCGCCGTCGCCCGCCGTTCTAGCAGCGGTGGCGGCCGCCGCCTTGCTGCCGGCCGACGGCAGTAGCAGTCCGGAAAGCTCCCAGCCGTCCGCTACTTCCGCCACCGATGCTTACGCCAGCACCGCCAATGCTGCTACTGCCGCTGGCGGCGGCGCTGTAGCGCGCGACAACGGTTCGGCACCCGGATCCAGCCCGGGATCGCGGCCTGGATCCGGAACTGGATATACGAACGTTCAGCCTATTGGCGGATTTGGTCACAGCCTAGGCTTGCCGCCGCTGCCTCCGAGCCCGTCGGTCGGCGGCATAGGACCAGGCGGCGGCAGCGGCGGCGGGACATGGCTGACAGCTGGTGTACAGCACTACAGCCACCGCCGCAGCGGCAGCGGCGGCGGCGGACGTGTACGAGATCACAACGCGAGCCCTTCGTTGCCGTTTTCTCGAGGCCTCCTCGGCGGCGGCGGCTACTGCCGATTGTCGCCGCTGGAGGAGAGAGGCAGTAGCAGTAGTGGTTTGGAGGGCATTGGGGCAGGCAGCAGTGGCGGTGCCGGCGGCGGCGCGGGGGAGGAGGACGACGGGAATACATTCCTCGGCGTGCGGTCGGCGGACGCCGCTGCTGGCAGCAGCAGCGGAGGCGGTTGCGGCAGAGGTTGCGATGGCGATAGTGAACTAGTACGGGATTTCATTCGAACTGTCGCTCAGGCCGCTGCCGCCCTGTCTGGCGTGGCCGTTGCCTCCTCCGGAGGCAGCGGCGGCCGCCGCGAAAGTGGCGACGGCGGCCCCGTACTGGCGACAGCCGTGACGTTCAGCGCATGGACGCGGGACTCCGTGTTCGTACAATCCGTGTCGGCGGAGCTGGCGGCGGCGGCGGCGGGTATCCAGACACCGCCTGCGCCGTCGACGCCCCCCGATGTTACAACCCCGGCGGACAGCACGGCCGCCACTACTCCCCGCGGCGGCGCCACAGCGGCCGTAGCCGCCGCCACCATCCCTGACGGCGGCGGCCGCCGCCGCCGCAGCTCTAGCATGTTTGGTTCCGGAGCTGCCCTATCCGAAGTCAGCGCGGGCGCGTGCAGCTCCGCCGCGGGTGTACTCATTCCGGATCCGGTCAGTCAGTCCGTCTGTCTGTCTGTCTGCCTGTCTGTCTGTAACAAATGGTCGTGATGAGAAACGGGACCAACACGTCCCGTGAAATAAAATGACGAACTGTCGTAAGGGTAAAGAAGATCTGTGCGGCGCACCGGTAACGCTTTTGTATGTACGGCAGAGTTTCAAATGGCACCGTTCATTTACTGTTGACCCACCGTTGACCACCGCCACAACCAGCGCCTCTTTGTATTCTCTCTCACTCACTCCCCTTCGTAAGCCCCCGCTTGATTCCGTGAGCGCCTCGTGAACCCTAACACCCCTACCTGCCTACCTGCCTGCCGGCCTGCCGGCCTGTGCACGTGAGGCAGGTAAGGCCGGTAAGCTGACCTCTGTCCCACTAACCCACCCAACCGCCCCGGCACCTGGCTCTCAACACACACACACACACACGCTCTCTCTCTCTCTCAACACACTCTCTCTCAACACACTCTCTCTCAACACACTCTCTCTCAACACACACTCTCCCAACACACTCTCTCTCAACACACACTCTCTCCAACACACTCTTTCTCAACACACTCTCTCTCAACACACTCTCTCTCAACACACACTCTCCCAACACTCTCTCTCTCAACACACTCTTTCTCAACACACTCTCTCTCAACACACTCTCTCTCAACACACACTCTCTCAACACACTCTCTCTCAACACACTCTCTCTCAACACACTCTCTCTCAACACACTCTCTCTCAACACACTCTCTCTCAACACACTCTCTCTCAACACACACTCTCTCAACACACTCTCTCTCAACACACTCTCTCTCAACACACTCTCTCTCAACACACTCTCTCTCAACACACTCTCTCTCAACACACTCTCTCTCAACACACACTCTCTCAACACACTCTCTCTCAACACACTCTCTCTCAACACACTCTCTCTCAACACACTCTCTCTCAACACACTCTCTCTCAACACACTCTCTCTCAACACACACTCTCTCTCAACACACTCTCTCTCAACACACTCTCTCTCAACACACTCTCAACGCACACATCAAAATCCCCACACAGGATTTGTTCTACTACGAGATCAGTCAAGACTCGGAGTTTCTGATTTGCGGCTGTGACGGGTTGTGGGACGTCATGCGGAACGTAGAGGCCTGCCGTTACGTGAGTACGTGTGTGTGTTTGTATGTGTGTATGTGTTTGTACGTGTATGTTTTTATGTATGTGTGTTTTGTTTGTGTGTGCGAAGCTTCCAAGTATGTGACCGGGCCTGACACTGGCCAGGGGCATCTCTAACCGTATACCCCAACGGGAATGAGCACCCCCGCCGAAGCACTACCCTCCTTGTCGGGGGAGAGGGGCGTGAGGGGCCACTATCCCCTCCAGCTCGATGTGGGACATATCCAACGGCAGGATGCGCGTGCATGCGTGTACGCCTTTTTAGCGTGTGTGTTTTGCGTAGAATTGGCAGTTTTGAGCAGTGCCAAGCGCCGTCCAGCAGCCGTCCAGCAGTGTCCATCTGTCTGCCTGCTCATGCGCGGCATGCGAGAAAATATGTATAAAGACCAAAAGCAAAGGCAAATTGTTGAGGACCGTGATATAGGACTGTGATGGCCAACGGAACGCAACTCCCAACGCCCAGAGGCTCCGTTTCAACTGCCAGGCCAACTAACTGAAACTATTTTAACTTGCTGCAGGTCCGCCGATGGCTGGCTGACGGTTGTAGCGCCGCCGCTGCGGCGGAGGCGCTCTGCCGCACGGCGCTCAAGCTGGGCAGTCACGACAACATCTCGGTTGTCGTACTGCGGTTCAGCGGGCGCCCGCTGGTGCGCGTGGAGTCATCCTCCAGGTTGCGGCGCGCGGCGTCGGAGGCCCAATTATGATTTGATGTGATGTCATATGGTATGATATGGTATGCTACGGGGACACAAAAAGCGGTCGATACCTGAATTTCTTTGTTGTATGTGTTGTAGGAGTTAAGTTTCGGCATGCGTACGGCAGCATCATTATTCGGCTTTCTTCTTTTAACCCTCTCAGCCAGTAGCGGATCAGGCCCCGCACACAGGATCGATTCCCAACCGGGGCTTCATTTGCATCCTAGCCCTCCGCACAGAGGCCATTTTTCCTCAGTTTTTCCGCATGTTTTTGCATTTGTGTGGGGAAGGTTTTGCAGGATCTATAATGCACCACCGGCATGGCGCGCGTGTGTGACGGCTGCCAGGTCGTTTCTCATCCCCAGTGCAGGCGACAGCATATTTTACCTTTTAGCGGAATGTGGCTGTATGTATTTGAGCTAGGGGCTGCGGGCTGAGGTGGGTCCAGGCATTACGTGGGGATGTGCAGGCACACGGCATGGGGTTGAGAGACAAAGAGAGAGGCTTTCATGTCGCGGCTGCTGTGGCGCGAGGCGAGACATAACCCGGAAGCAAATCCGGCTGGAGTGACGCGGCCGAGGCGACGGGGTCCCCCTTGGGTTAGCGGGTGCGGAGGAGCACTGGAGGTGTGGGGGAAGAAGCCAAAGGAAAGAAGAAGATGAGACGGAAGAGGGGGGGAAAGGGGAGCAAGCCGAAGAGATGGAGAGAAGGAGAAGAGATGGAGAGAAGGAGAAGAAAGGACAAACTTGCCTGGTCTGCGGAAAAAGGGGAAGAAGGTGAGGGGAAGAAGGAGAGAGGCGTTCCCACGGGAAAGTGGCTGCGGAAGCTCCTCAAGGCTGCTCTCTCAGCCTTGGCGGGCCCAGCCGCAAATTAAAGAGTGGAGGCGTGAAGTAAAGTAGTCCCCATCATACGGGGGACGGGGCGGAATATCTGGAAATATCTGGCCTTTTGTTCTCATCTCATGGGGAGTACAACTCTTTTGAGTATCCCGGCACGAGCGCGGCCGGCCGCCTGCATCTCGCATCTCGGGTGCCAGCTGCGGGCGGCAGGGAGGGGCTGGGAGGTTTGTAGAGAGCGGGCGGCCGGGCGCAGAATGGGGCACCCCGGTTATTTACTTTTATTTAATGCCACTGGGGGGCCACTCGGGGTCTGACTGGAGGAGGTTTGGGTGTAGTGGATTGCGGAGGAGGAGAGAAGCTGCAGGAGGAACGCCGTACTAATGTACGGCGTTGATGGTGCCATGCAGTGTGTCCTGATGGTGGGTGGTGTGCCGTGATGGTGGGTGTTCATGTAGTCATGGTGGTAGTCATGGTGGTAGGGAGTCGTACTGGTGCTGATCCTGTGGCGATGGTGGCGTAGTAGGACGTAGAGTAGTGAGGAAAGGTAGGGTGGGGTACGGGGCAGTCGTGGTTTGGAGAGGCGAGCTGAAGCGGTTCGGGATGCCCGCCGCGAGGACAGCGTCTGAACGCCGTCTTGAGCTCCCAAGAGATGGCCTCTAAGGGCCGTCTGAGCTCCTAAGAGATGGCCTCTAAGGGCCGTCTGAGCTCCTAAGAGATGGCCTCTAAGGGCCGTCTGAGCTCCTAAGAGGTTGGGTTGTGTTGACTGATCCTCCTGTTCTTTGTCGCATGAGGAGGCATCGTCGACCCGTCGGTTTTATCGACCTGTGCAGCGTCCCCCAACACATGAAAATTTAGAGAGACAAAACAACGTCCGGTCGCGGTGGGTTCCGTAGCAGCTTATTGCTTTTGATGCTTCTTGTACGCCTAAGCGTTGAACCGATTGCCGTTGCATAAGCGGAGTTGTACACATTCGTTATGTTGTACGGTGTACGAAAAGAAATGCGTTCGGTTGCCGTACCGCCGAGCGTTGTATCACCACACTACCCCCCCTGGAGCAGCGTTTGCGATCTTGCAAAAAAGCGTGTTTGATTGTGTACCTGTAGGGGAGTTGTTGGAGTTATTTGGATGGCGATGTGGGCCCGATGGTGGTATGAGCCAGGCAGAGCCGAGCTCCAGGGCCCGCGGGCAGCATTTTGTTTCGTCTCCTCTCGTTCCCGAAATTGTACCCCCCCGGCCTGAAAGAAGACCAATCAGGTTTCATCATGGCCGAGAACGGCGGAGCTGGTGTCGGGCCAATTGCCGGCTGAGAGCCGAACTGCTGTTCGGCCTTCTGTAGCGCTAAGAAGGCATTATTTGTTGCACGATCGGCCGGCCGTTATCTCTCTCTTCAGTTTGTCCGATGTTCCTCATTTTTTCTCCTCCTCCTTATTTTCCTCTCCTCCTTATTTTCCTCTCTTCCTGTGCGCGCTGCTCTGCGCGGTCTCTGGCGACCGCGGCGAGCTGGGCCACACACGGAAGGGGGGGAGAGAGGGGCTCCTAGACACACCTAGGGCATGTGCGCATTCGCGTGTCTTTTGGAACGTGTTTTTAGGGGGGATTTAGAAGTGTGTCGGGAGCGGTGTTTTGCATCGCGTGTGCGCAGGGAGGGAAGAGAAGCTCCTGCTGAGGGAGCGTGCGTGTGTGTCGGTGCAATAACTAAGCCGCCCCAACGCCCGCTTGCTTGCTGGCTTTCTTGTTAGCCCTTAGCCTTAGCTTGCCCTATAAACCCTATAGAGCAGTACAAGAGCAATGCAAGTACGACAGGGGAATCCGGGGTTTTCAGGCCGGTTCCGGAGCCGCACTCGCACAATTTCCAGGACCACGTGCGCGTAGCGCACCGCAGCTCACGTCTGTGCTTATCTTTTTGTGTTCTAGCCAATGAATCTAGTTTATTAGCCAGTGCATGTATGCACCCCCTGTATGTACGGCTTTGTACAGCGCATGCGTCTGTGTGTCTCCAGTTTTTAGTGTACTCTACGTTGAGCATATGGCGATATGCTTGTGAGATAGTTGTGTACGCTGCACATATCCGCGGGCCCCCCGGCTTATCCGCAGATGCAAGCATCATATTCCGCATTGTACGGCATGTTGTTTTTCCTCAGAAGTCAGAGGGCGCGCAGGGCACCGGAACCCAGACGCGGCCTAGAGATATGTGCGTCTCTCGCTCGTGGGCCAGCGGCAGCCATTAGCTCCTAACTAGGTGTTCAACAGCGGCTTACCGGCTGGTAATCCAAGATTTTAGTGTTCACCTAGCCACGACAATGGGTTCGTAAAAGTACGACAGTACGAGTTGTACGGTATTAAACACAGGAACTCTTTTGCAGCCATCGTGCGCTTGCCTATTAGGGTCCCGGGGACCAGAACGACGAGTTATCTAGGTTAACATGAACCGGAATCTGAATCTAGTAATTCGGTAGCTCATACGGCGAGCCTTACAATGGAGTTGTTGGAGGTGATGTGCTGGGCGTGTCTCGCCGGTGACACGTTCAGCAGACGCGCCATTTGTGTTATGTTTATTCCCCTTTACCCTCTATAGGGGTTTTCCACTAGTTGCTGTCGTTCAACGTTTTGTCCCCTTGGGTTAGGAGCTGGTTTTCAATTATTGAGATTACACGAATACGGAAGTGTATCATAGGTAACGCCTAAGTTCGCATAAAGTGCAATACAGAAAGATAGAATGTATGATAGGAATGTGAACGAGAGGGCCCTGCCGGGCTGTGCGTCCTATTCCTGGATAGTTCGGTGAGGGTTATCATACCGAGCACAAATGGAGGGGAGTGTAAGGAAAGGCGGCGAATGGGAGGCTGAAGCCTCTCTGGGATCACCGGTTGTTATGTGACCAGTAACAGCTGGTCACATATATAGGCGTGTTGCACGTGCGCTGCAACAAAAAAAGAAAGCAGAGATAGAGCACGCAGCTGGGGGGGGATGGAGTTGAAGGACTTCCCCAATAGACATCTCGTTTCGTTCGTGGGCATTTCGTTAAAATATTTGTAATTTCCTGGTATGGTGCGACATGGGCGATGGCGGCCACGAACAGCCGGATGGACGGATTTTTGGTCCTGCTTGCGCTGATCCTACGCTGGTGTCGCTCCACCTTAAGGTATTTTCATCTGTGTAGTTAAATTTTGAGGGTTTGAGGAAAAAAACGTAAGCCCATATTAAGAAGTAAAATACCAGGGTTTATAACAACTCTCGGCTGTATGTCTCCCGGGCGACCTAGGGAGACAACTGAAATTAGAACGCCTGAAATCACAATAATGATCGAAGTGCCAGCCATGAGCTGCGTGCCTCTGAAGGCCCAATTGGGAGAGAAATGGAAGTATGTATTGCCTCGGTGTGCATCAGTTTAACAATTTCGGTCGGCTCGGACATTATTTCTTGATTGAATCCCAGAGTGTAATACCTAGCACAGGATTTGCGACAACGCAACGTCCTGTCGTACGTGTATACGACTTGCAATGCTAATCATGGGATTACGGGATTATAGGCTTATATAGGGAAAGACTGGGCAGAGCAACGGCGCAGCTTGCAACCTTGCTTCCCGCTGCTTGCAAAATATGAAGACCAAAGTTGATAGGCCCCGTGGAGAGGCCCTTCAACCGGAGGGAACGGTAGGGCGACGTGGGATGTATGCACGCCTGACATACGCACTTGCATAATGCAGACGAGGGAAAACTGGGCCCTACAACGGCACAATCTTCTGAAAGTTCGTGCGGTGCCGAAATTCCGAAACCGACGCGCGGTCAAAAAATTACAGGACCGGCAGATGTACGGAAAAGCTGCTTAACCGGCGAACTACCCACTTGCACGTGGGTAACGGAACTTCCGAGTTCTGCGTTTCTCCGAATTCGCATTTGCGACTTATATTTTACTTTTATGAGGGTCCTAAGGTCGCCTGGCAGGTTCAGCATTATTGCGTCAAATACTTATCGCTTTGTTGTGTGAAGCCATGGCGGATGATGCTCCTACACGCGTAGAATTTTCCAACATTTTCGGGCAACGTCTTATAGCTAAGCGTGACGGGAGGCCAGCTGAGGTTCCTGTAACGGAGTTGGATGGGAAGTATGTAGGCGTCTACTTCAGTGCTCACTGGTAAGGGCCCTTACCCCGACATATTGCTAATGGATTACAAGTAGAGGTGCGCTGTCCTTTCAGCTAGGCGTTTTGCTGCAGGTGCCCGCCTTGCCGGGCCTTCACTCCGCTGCTTCGGAAAACGTACCTCATGCTCACAGCTTTGGGGAAACCTTTCGAAATTGTTTTCGTCTCGAGCGACCAGTCTCAACAAGAATTTGACGTGAGTGGCTCGATAGTCATCGTTTCAAGTGTAACCGTTCGCAAGCTATGAAGTCGGCACCATCGCAGAACTATTATGGCGAGATGCCATGGATGGCGATTCCGTACACAGAAACAGCCTACCGATCGGGTCTCGGGCGCCGCTTCAGTGTCATGGGCATCCCAACGCTGGTGATTCTGTCGCCGGAGGGACACGTCGTCAACACCAATGCACGAACAGCGATCATTCGGGATCCAGAGGCGTCTCGATTTCCTTGGGAGGGCGAGGAGGAAAGGTACTGGTGCTGCGTCCTACAGTAAACCAACGTAGGCTTGTACAGGTGATGCCGCTGTCGCCTCTTGCATACACCTGCAACACTGCAACAGTGTTGCGGTTCAAGTTCAAAACCTCTTCGTGGTACACCTGGTGAAAGGAAGTTCTTTCATTTCCCAGACGGTCAATAAGGGCTGACACGACACTTCAGGGTGTGTGCATGCGGACAGCGAAGAAATCGGACCCATCGCCACGCAGGACCCTGCACTTCACAGAAAATGGCTCGCCTCGCTGATCGTTACAACCTAGCCAGGCCATTATGTGTTTCACGAATTGGGTGCGCTCTCGCGTTTATTGCGCAACCCGCCGACTCCCAACCCGAAGCGGGCTCGTTGCTCTTCCGCCAGCCTCGCACTCCTCCGAAAATCCAGGTTGCACCGCATTCCATATGCATATGCCGGCTTTGCCATGTCCCACGCGCGGGCATTCCTCAGCCCGCTGTGCTCACGCTCGCTCCGTCGTCCCCTGCACGTTCATCCATTCGCCACGCAGGCCGGCGTTCAGCCTGCTGCCCATCTTCCTCATGGTTGTGGCCGCATGGCTCGTGGCACAGTTCTTCTTTGGCAATCGATGAGGAGAACCCATTTCGCGCTGCTCCTCTTAGTCATCCCACTCTCTAAGACGAATCCTCCAGAATGGCTCTCCTGCACTCCTCCCTTAAGCACACCGGAAGGAAGTTCCCGCTTGGGGTCGCGACGGGAAGCCCTGAAGGCGCAATTTCGGAACCCCAACGCAAAATTGCAAACCTGCCATCCTCGGCCTACTAAATACCAAAACAGATTGTGCGTAACCTTCTAAATAGCATGCTGCTTTCAATTTCTGTTTTTCATGTTTTTTTTTGGATTCGGCAAGTGGGTCGTTTGTGTGTTTCCGCATGTCTGTCACTTGCCGATCTGAGCTAGCGTAGGCATTAAATGAGCGACGATGGCAAGGTTATGGTCGTTATAGACCATGAGGTTGCGGACAGAAGGTGCTTGGCTGGTGATGCAAACGGAGCCCATTGAGCGTACGGATGTATGGTGTCCGGATGGTGATCGGGTCCCACATCCCAATAATGAGACCACGCACGGCTGCTGAGCCTCCCAACAACACAGCCCGCCATGACCACGTGGTCAGTAGGCCCGCAGATGGCTTTGTAACTCTGGGTGCTTCATAACTTGAGTGATGCAGACAGTGATCATGCTTGACGGCACGTCGTGTTGAAGTGGGTTGGGAACCACCCGCGGGTCCCACGCGAGGGGGACATGCCGCAACGGCTCGTGGCGGCCAACGCATTGGGCTACATTATAGTCTATAAGGCAAGTCAGCACACAAAGCACTTGGGTTGACACTTGCAGATGTAACAACGGGGGCAGCGATATGGAGCGCGCGGAGCCTATTTCCTAAATAGGCTTGGTCCACCCGACGTGATTGCCGTCGCCGGGGTTATACGCTGAGAGTGCGCTTGTATGCATGAATGTGAATGAAGTGTCAAAAAAGGGCAGGTAGACAGGTTGAATGTTACGCTGTAGCTAGTTGAGTGCTTTGGTATCATCATAAAAATTGTCCCTCTGTTCTCGTGGTTAGCTGTTTCACGGGGTGCTGCTGGTGTTCAGGTATTTCCTGTTTAGGCATAGCACGATAACATGTTATGCTCGTGTTCTACGGGCGGTAATATGTCAGTGTTCTGGTGCCTGGGCGCCCCTCCTGCAACACGATAGCATGTGCATGTTCCGGCCGGACGGCTATAAAGGAGAGGGGAAGTCCAGCAGAGGGGCCCTATTTTGAAGGGAGGACCAGGCAAGGCAGTGCTATAGAAATGTTTTTTTTTCGTTTTTTTGGGAGTCGTGTCCTTGTGTGCTAGATCTAGCGGACGAGTGTTATTGCGCACATGCACATAGCGGTTAAACCCCTTGCCGAAGTTTGGAGTAACGCGGGAATGTCCTTCATCTGCTTGCCATATAACTGCCGCTGGGCGGCGACCAGCCTGGTCGATCACCCTAACGGTGATTGAAAGACTTCCGTTTCTCCTGATTATACGAATGGTATGTATGTACGTATGTATGTATGTTTACCCATTCGGTACCGAGCCCTCTCTTGTCCAAGATGGGTTTTACCCCTTCGTATTACTGAGTAGAGGTGTGTCGCTAATGGGTTGACGGTTTTGTGCGACTTGGCTTCGCACAAGTCCCATACATACGGCAGTGTTATGCGCGGAAGATCCCTAGCAGGGCTCGCCGCTGTAACGACATTCAAATTACGGTGTGTTTGGAGGATTTCAGATTCCACTAATACCACATCAGCTTGACACCCGGCGACGCAAACTATATTCCCCGGTCATCATCACCATCAGCACTGAGGAGGCCTCTCGAGGTGCATATGCTGGCATGTGGAGTGCTTTCGCGCGTGTGTACTGATGGTGTGTGTGTGTATGTGTATCTGTGTGCGCGAGCAATGCATGGCGGCTACTAGACGCAAGCACATTAACTAAGATGCAGCTAATGACAGTTTCAAAAGTTTTTGATAAAGTTACCTCGTGTATCACCATCCACGTGATGGCCATAGAGTGCAATATATTTATTCCGAATTGGGCATCGACTCCGGTTTATTTCCGGACTGGTTTGTGAGTGAGTTGCATCAGATCTAGGCCAGTAGACGAACACATGAAGAGACAAGCAGGAACCAAGGCGTCATGAAGGCCTTACAACCGCGCCTTGCAAGCTAGAGTCTCCCTCCCAAGTTCTAGCATCAACGATGGCACCTGTAAGGGTGCCTGAGGGAAAGGCCATTATTGTAGGACACCGTTATCTAACTGTGTGTGCTTTTCGAGCGCCCACACTACGCCGCTCGCAGCACTCCAGATGCCCGATAAAGAGAGAACAAATGGCCAGTGACCAAGATGCTATGCGCCGGTTAGCAATGACAGCGGAAGTCGGAGGCCATGTGTGTCCCCACAAGTCGCATCTTCCCTTGCTGTGCTTATTTCCGGTTTCCTGCAAAACTATTGCAGTTCTCGCTGGGCGTGTGTAAAACTGCTTGTTGCTGATTCCATCCTTGTTAGGGGGACCGTTTTTTTCCGTTGTTGGCTAAACAACGCAATTTTGGCCTATTCACGCACGCGGAATATTGAGTTGTCACCGCTCCCCGCCGCGCACCCTATATTTCACGATATTGCAAGAAACTTATTATCTGTTAATGTGAGTGGTTTGTTCTGCAGCGGAACGGCGTTTTCTTACGTTCGCGGCGGAGGCCGCCTTCGTCTCCTAAAGGGGTACGCTTATTGTTACTTAAATTCATCCAGCATGATTACGAATATTGAGTCAAAAACTGGCAGGAAGTTCACCAGCCAGCTGCTGTTGCCGTGCTTCGGGGTACAACGTGATGCTGCCATCGGACATGAGGACTAGCACCCAGAAAGCGTCCCCGACAGGGACGAGCTGGGCACTGGGCAGGTTGGAGCTCGAGCACAGTACGATTGCATCGAGTCGACGATACCAGGGCCACACTCAAACTCCTGAGCTTTTGGGGACAGAAGGCTGCTGGGAAGATTGCATCCAAGGACGGCAGCCAGGTGTGAGAATTTTTATCCAATACACAGGTCCAAGTCCTTATGAATGCTGTACAGTGCAACCTTTGTTGCAAACGTCAGGAATTTGTTCCAGCATAGCTAGTCTAAGATTAAACTTTGAGACTGTGCTGGACTGTGTACTTAAGAAAATTGGAGGCTTCTAAGAACGGTGGCTTTTATTTCTTCAACATTTATAACTATCCCAACCTCTTGCGTGCGTGAATCGGCGCAAAGTGCGTTTGTCGCGACGGTTACCCTACCAGGACTGGACCACTGCATCAGTAATCCTTCCACAGATTGAATGTAAAAATAAAAATTTGTATGAAAAGGGGGAAATTTGGGATCTTACACCAATCAGCGCACGCGACACCTGGGTTTACCAATCTCCCCCTCCTAGCCCATCATCCTGCAGCACCATTGTAATTATCCGCTCTCATTCTGTTATAGTCACAGGATTCTCACTGGTCATTACGTATGTCTCTTCTCACCACATGTTTGGAAGTTCCTAAGCGGGGCGCCAGCGTAGTGGTGCGGCCACGGAAAGCCATCGGCGTGAGCACGTGTGAAGTTAGCATCAAAGCCTTCCAGACGATTGAATTCGTGAGGGACGACATCGGTGATCTGGGCGCCTCAAAGCCTGGGCCCACTGGGGTGCGGCAGCGACGAGAAAGCAATCTCAGCAATTCAAGTTTTGGCTGCAACGACGGCTTTGAGACGCTTGTTTTCTTACAGGACGAGATCCGTGAGTTGATAATAAAGGGCGGCCATGGGACAGACGGCCAGCAGAATTCAAGGACCTACTCGCTCAGCAACGAACAATTGCGGGTTGCAGGGCAACTGAGCGATGCGTGCTTACCTATCTATGAGCCCACTACAGACTCCATACTGTTCGTGGAGAAGGGGACGGCCATTAAGCGCCTCGACAGTGACAACGTGATCTCGTTAGTCGCTGGCTGTGAGACTGAGTCCGGCAACAAGGATGGCTGTGGCTGGATGGCGCGCTTTCAGGAAATCACTGCGCTGATGGCCGATGGGAAGGGAAGCATATACGTTTCAGATTACTCCAACGGGCAATGCTCGCTTCGTGTGCTCTTGATCTGGACCGGTCATGTTTGCACTCTGAAAGCCAGGGGCAGGGTGTTGGGGCTTGGTCCTAAATGGCGAGCGTTGTCGTACGATGTGGAGGCCAATATGATGGTCGGGGCCTCGACAACCGCTATCTACCACATGACGCCGTACGGCAGTGAACTTCACTGCCCCGAGCCGCCTGTGGTGATGCGCCTGGTGGCTGGAAACGGGCGAGATAAGGAAGAGGAGGAGGATGGATCGGGGGTGGATGGCAAGGGCATGAAGGCGCGCTTCAAGTCCATTTACGCTATCCATGCAGCCTCCAACAGCCGTGTGCTCGTGGTGGACTCAGCTGGAAAGGACAAGGTAAACCTTCGTGTGGTGGATGCGGATGGCACCGTGCGCACTGTGGCGACCTTCGATGGCTCGGGCTACGAAACGCTCAGTATAGGCGTGCTGCCCAAGGGCGAGTTGGTGTTGAGCTTAAACACCAAGAAATCGACCGGAGCCATTGTTATCGTCAGCGGCGCGAACTTTGCGCCAAGCAGCCAGTTCCTGCCTCGGTCAATGAGGCACTACTCAGCAGTAACCTGGATGAGGGACTAACCCTGGTCTCCAAAAACACCAGCGGGCCAGTGGCGGCGGTGGGTTTGGCGCGGGGCGGTGTGGAGGGAGCTGGGCTGCTTGTGACGCACACAGCAAGGGGATGGCAGTACGCAGGAATGGCATTATTGGCTTTGTACTCCATTATCAATGTTTCTGCCGTACTCACGATTACAGCTCAATATGTATGTGAAGGATCAGGTCACGCGGCGGACTGCGGTTTGTGAGGAGCCGTAACGTCATCAGTTGGGGGCACTAGAAGTACGCTGTAAAACAATTGAGGAGTGCGTGCCTATAGATAACTTATTTTCAGCAATATCTATCATACCACGATGGCACGATCTATAGACCATTCTATACCATAGATTTAAATAAATCTATTTCTAGGTTCTGTCGATTATACGATGGCCCTATCTCCAGACAAGAACAAGAAAAACATGTACAGATGCACATCTGCTGCCCCGACGAGGTGTGATGGCTATATATTAGGGGGGACTGATGGCTTAAAACAAGGCAATGCGTGATTTAGTGCCATTCGCATTGTGACAACGTTAACAAGGGTTGCGTTCTATGTGAAGGCGTTGCCATCCGCAGCGTGCATGTAGTAGCTGTCGTAGACTATCAGGTGCCATGCAGCCGAGAAGATCCGCTTCCCCACATGGAGAGCTGGAACAACAATCTTTCATGGATTTGTAATGAAATGCATACACTACGCCTGGAATATAGATTCCATGGATGGAATCTAGGGGGGAAGGGAGGGAGGGAGGGAGGCAGGGAGGCAGGGAGGCAACCTTCGTCACAAGGAATATATGCTCAAAAATGGGCTCGCAGAGTTGTTGAAGTCGTCCACTCAGTAGAGGCAGCAGGCCAAATGTATACTTGGGTATTTTTCGGCACACCTGCCGACCCACCTGCCCACCAGGCTTATGCATAACGTTCTTCTGGTCACAAAGCTGCCTTGAATTGTATTTAATTTGGTTGTGTGTTTAAATTTTGTATGCAGCTGCATTGCGTTCATTCCTTGTTCGAGCTGTTTGCACCATCTGCGGTTTGCACATCCTGGCACATCCAGACGGGCTTCACCCCATTCATCAACAGCTTGTAAGCCTCATGCCAAAAAAAACAAACAAAAAATATTCAAGAATTATACCAGCAATGCCGCCTCTAATGCGACTCCCTAGCGTACGCGCACGCAGCCTTTACCTGATACCCAGTTTACCACCCAGTTCGCGTCAACGTTTCAAGCAGATGCGTGTTCAAATGCGGTATCTGCTGTGCATGACATGACATGCTTGCCATTAATAATATGATATGGATGCTGTACATGACATGCTCTTCGAACATGACGAGGAGGTTGGGAATGAAATCGCCCGCAACGCCGTATCGATGAAGCCCCCAAGACCCATGCGTCGCCTAGCAAAAATAGTTCCAATTCATTCAGGCGTCATTCTTGGTTCTGTAGCCGCTGTTTTTGCGCTTGGGATTCACAGTCCTGCTGCCGGCTCACGAGTCGTCACGTCCGACAGGGAGCCCCCCGAGGCACTCATACTCCATGCACTTGCAGCTGCTCGGAAACTGTCCTGCGAGCCGTATGCGAGCGGGATATTTATACTAAAACACAGAAACATAGGAAAACACTACAACAGCGCATATCTTCCGTTGTCGCCTCCTAGGAGTCGTCACGTGCTTTCTCATCACCACTAGGGATGTCCACAGGCCCCCTAGTCGTGTCACATTCACTGTGCGGTACTACGCACCGCAGCGTTGACCGCCGGGTTCTTAAAGCAGTCCCCGCATCCTAGGTTAGGCCGGAGCTCCCATAGCTCTCAATCGTTGGCAAGTCTTAACTACTTTTCAGCACCATATATTCCTTAATATCAGCAACAGGGCGTCATGTCTCTCTCCGTGAGCTATTTGGCAACTCAAAATCCTGTGGGAAGGGTTGTGGTGCGGCCTCGGGGAACCACCGTCGGCAGCAGCAACGGCAACCCGCAGACGCTCGTTTTCTTCAAAGACCACATCCGCGAATTGATCGAGATTTCCGGGAGCAGCACCGCTAACGGGACAGCAAATGGTCCGGTATCGGCGAGGACTTTCCGGCTGAGCTGCGAACGACTGCAGGTCGAAGGGCGACTCTGCAATCCCCGCTTACCCACCTACGAGCCCATCACGGACTCCATATTCTTCGTGGAGAATGGCACAGCCATTAAGCGCCTCGACAGAAACAACAGAATTTCGCTGGTTGCTGGCAGCGACACACAATCAGGCAACAAGGATGGCTGTGGCTGGATGGCGCGCTTCCAACAAATCACTGCACTGATGGCAGATGGCAAGGGGAATGTACACGTGTCAGACTACTCCAACGGGCAATGCCACCTCCGTGTGGTGCTGGTCAGGACCGGCGATGTGTACACCCCGAAGGCCAGGGGCAGGGCATTGGGATTCGGTACCACATGGCGAGCACTGTCGTACGATGTCGAGGCCGACATGATGGTGGGAGCCTCACCGTCTGCTATCTACCACATGGCACCGTACGGCATTGAATTCCATAACCCTACACCGCCTGCGATGTTTCGCCTGGTCGCCGGGGACAAGCAGAACTTCGCGGATTATAGACCGGGGATGGACGGCAAGGGCGTGATGGCACACTTCAAGTCTGTTTACGCCATCTTGGCTGGCGCCAATGGCCGTGTGCTCGTGGTGGACTCAGCCGTGGGGGACATGGTAAAGCTTCGTGTGGTGGATGCGGATGGCACGGTGAGCTCATTGGGGACTCTCGATGGTGCCGGATATACGGAACTAAGTGCTGGCGTGCTGCCCCAGGGCGAGCTGGTACTGAGCTTGGACACCAAGAAGGGTTTTGCCGTGATCGCAATCATTAGCGGCGTGAACTTCGTTCCTAGCAGCGAAATCCTAGCTGGGTGGCAGAGACACCCAGTTGTTGCATTGTTGAGCGGCTAATCGTGTTGGCCCCTGACAACATACACCAACACAGCAGGCGCAGTGGTGGTGAAGTTTCCAAATGTGTCATTTATTGTCATCACAAATCTGACGCCAGCGTGGACCAACGTGGACTTGTGTAACTCGACCCGTGGCTTTGTTTGCCAGCTCCGTACATAGCTAGCTAGTGTGCAGTCATACCGCAGTGCAAGTATCGAGCTACTGCTCAACAAAAACACGCTGCCCTTGATGGCAAGGCAGGCGCCCCTCTCCCGTCCGCGGGGGAGAGCTTAGGCGGTCTTTCCTCGTTGGGGCTGGGCAGCAGCATGCACACACATGCACGGGCACACTCACGGTGATACGGGGCGACCCACTTCGAGCTGAGGGTGCTGAGGGCGGCGGAAACTGTATCCGCGAGTTCAGTCGGATGACGGCGACAAATGCCCAAGTGTCTGTGAGTCTGGCGTATGATATTTCCGGTATATACCACGTGGATGTGATGTGCGTAACGCCAAACATGCGGTGCAGCGCTGTAGCCGGATCTATACGGAAACGTACGGCATACCGAAGCCGTGCACTGACGCCGTGTGCGTGGCTTCCGTCTTTTGCGCGATTTTGCGATCTACGTGTGTGTATATCTGTGTTTACGCTTTAGGAGTGTACAATGTTTTCATCACCATACGCACATACAAGGATCGTTAACCATTATTTATCCTCACTTGTTACTGTACAGGTCGAAGCAGGGCTGGTCAGGCAATACTTAACTGACTAAGAAAATTGGTAGGGGCAGGAAACACGGACGCTTATGCATCGCTTAACCTTCGGGTCAACGTTGCCTGTGACTTTATAAGCGCCCACTCTGTGTGACAGCTTTTAGGTGTCGCTGGTGCAGTTGACTGAGTACGCCACATAATCCAGAGCATGGTTTGTTGATATGCGGTCAAAGGCGATCCAGTATTCGCCCTCGTTTCGAAGATACCACGTTCCGTTCTTCAGGTGCGGAACGGGGAAACCTAACATGATTATAACATGGACCTCTCGGCTACGTGGCCCATGGCATACGTTTCTCTACCTCCTTAACCCCGCTTGCTGCAGTGTAATCCGGATCCAGCTGTAGTTAAATTATAATCCGGATCCAGCATAGACACCCACTCGTGCATCACCATCACTACCGCCAGAAAGCACCCAGACATGTCCCCACCTCTGCAGTAGATCGTCCCCCTCAGCCGTTCAGCACATTCTCTGACGACTGTTTAAATAATGGCTGTCCGAACGAACCGAGCACAAGTTGATTGCTACACAGCATTAGAGTATCTGGGCGCATTTCGCGTGTAGGCCGTGTGGCGCACCTGTGGTGCCTACACGCCTAAACGGTGGGTCCAAACTAACGCCCGAAGTGGACAACAACCCCACTCAGTAGGTACCCGGGTCGTCAATCTGCCTTCAAGGTGCGTCTTTTCAGTGTCTTCCCGGTAGCATCACGCCACTCTTATCCGACTACAAGTTACATCATGTCGACACTGGGCGCGTCCGGCATCTCGTCAAACTCGTCCAAGGACTCAGCCGCCTTCTCCAGCTCCTCCATCCGCTCCGCCAACTCCTCGGGTGACATATCCGCAAGGCCAGAGGCCGTGTTCATCGAGACCTGGACGAGCAGAGCCAGGAAGGCGTGCAGCAGCAGCGGCGTGCAAACTTGTATGTACGTCTGTATGTGCTCCTAAAGGTCATGATGCACGCGATGGTGTTCAGCGCGGCAATTTGAATCGCGTAATATTTTCTTGCTGAAAAGGAACAGCGGTCGCAGCAGCAATGCAGGCCATCAGACGAGGTGGTGACCTGGAGCTCGAGCCACGCAAAAAACGGCGTGATGCACAACAACAAAGAGCGAGCACGCTAGGGGTCTCTTCCATTATTGGAAGCCCAACAGAGAATATACTGCAACATCCTCAGCTGTCGATGGCCACTACGCCTGTCTGTCTGTCTGTCTGCTCGCCTACCATTGCACTAACTCACCTCGATGGGGTCGGGTAGCAGAAAGGATTCTTCCAACGTAATCCCGGAAGGCCTAGGGGCCAGGTGGGAAAGGGGTACAGACGTGTACAGGGGGTTAGGCATTAATGAAGCATTGTGACTCCGTCATGACGCCGGCTCATATATAAATGTGCGAGACACTGAACCTATGACATTTTTAGAGTCAAAAGAGGGTTTAGGTGACGGATGCTACACAGAAAGGCTGCACGCCTGCAGAAAGCAGTTCCTCACATGCCGGCTGCTGCAGCTCATCCAACAAAAAGGCGCGGAGAGACGGCACTGCTGTCTACACGCGCGAGGCTATAGGGAAAAAAGGCCGCAAAAGAAAGACGTCAAGAAGGAGCAGACACGCTTGATGACCCATGCCATGGCGCGACGAACACATGTTTGCAGCAAGCACGGACCATCATTCAGCCGGGCCATGTCTGTCACAAGCTTAGCTTCTCAAAACCCACGGGTTGTTAGGCAGTGTCGTGCGGCTGGCAGTCGTTATGGCCTCAGATTAGCATGGCAACCTTCTCAGCACCGGCCCCGCAGACACGTGAGCGCTGCCGGACCTTAAGCCATAACACGCATTGAGAAGTTGTTGTTATCATCATTGGCCGAACCGCAAAACCGTAAACGCACCGCACCGCAGCGCGCGCGGCGGTAACCGCACGAGCTGACGACAGCCATGCACCTGGATACGGTAAAAAAACCTATACCAGATTTCCCCGCGGCAGTAACCCAAGGCACGCGAGGCAGCGGAAATACGTCCAACAACTGGTATCCTAGTTTACGCGAGAGAGAAAGAGCCCCGCGCCTATAGTGCAAACCGCCAATGGTGCGAACTAGTACAAATAGCCTGATAGCAAGAATGGCACTCCCGCGTTGCCTACCTGCCGCCACAGCGGCAACCTGACCCACAAGCCCCAGACCTGCTTTCATACTGCCGGTGTCTGCGGCAGCTGGTGTGTGTAGCACTCTCGCGCGCGCTATAACTGAATCCGGCTGGCCTGGGCCTGGGCATGGGCCAGGGAGCGAGTGCCGTTGCTAGTGCCCGGTACTGTACTACAAACAGCTGGCCGCAGCCGTACACGCATGTGCAGTCGTACCTTATCCGCAGCACAGGCTCCAGCATCGGCAGGGAGCCCACCACACGAACCTCGCTACGGGACAGCACCCGGCTCCTGAACGAATGAACCAACGAATGGATGGGTCGAACCAAATGAATGAAGCACAGGGGATATCGTTTGCAAGCACCTCCGAACATTACCAATCCGGTAATGCATCCAAGGAGCCCAGGAGCAGGGAGGCATGGGCCTAGAAAAAAACGCGCCGACTCGGGCAAAAAGAGACCCCGCACCAGGGTCAGGTGATGGTGTGGGGTCGACGGGGGGAGCGTCTCGCACCGTGCTGTCGCCCTTTCCCCGTCGCAACCCATTCCCCCCCATAAACACAGAGGTTTCCGGGTTTTGCGTACCGGTCACACGCATATGCCGACATAACTCCCGTCCCGTTCCGAGCGCGCACCCTGCACTCCCGCTGTAATGATCGACCGACCGACCGACCGACCGACCGAGCATCAGCACGCGAGTGGCTTATCGGTACCTCGACCAAACCCACCCGCGCTTTAGAATCCGACCCGGGTGCCCCCCCCCCCAGAGGGAGCCCTCCACCATGCAACAACACCTGCCAGACACGGGTGTTGAAGCGGTGCTGGCCGAGTAGAGGCATATCTATTTTTCCTTTCCAAATTCTACCTTGGAAGAAATTAAAAAATTACCCGCTCCCAGTTGCGCCCTCCAACCCCACCCCAGCCGTCCCATGCTTGCATGCTCGTCCCGCTTTTTTCCCTCTTACTTTCCGTCGAACACGAAAACGTTGTCCAGGTCAAACACGGGGCTCTCAAGCCCGCCGTGCTCCGAGGGCTCGAGGCAAAGAAAGTAGACTTTCTTCACCTGCAGGAGGGGGAAAGAAAGGCGTCTGTCTGACACGTGTATCCGTCTGTCTGTCTGTCAAACTGGCAAGCGGGGAAAGGAGCAAGCGACCGGAGGTGCAAAGCGCACACACGGTAAGGGGACCCATTGCCTTCCCCATTGCCTTTCCCCCCCCATCTACCGCCGCGCCTAGCGGTGCCTTTTTATAAGCAGCATTTGACCCCCCAAACACCCTCGCGGCACTCGTACACTGGTTCGCAGGTTTGCACGTGTACGAGATTCACACAGTCCCAAACATACAAGAGACACACAGACACACACACACCACACGCACACATTCACTCCCCTCCGCCTTCCACATCCATTCCATCTCCCCTTCCGTCGGTCCCCGGGACCCCACCTTGTTGGTCGCAGCCTTGCGCTTGAACATGTCGCTGCTGCCGCGTTCCGTCCAGGGTATTGCCTGCCGTCATAAGCCCCAGTTGTTGTAGGACAAACAGCAAATCATACACGTGTCAGAAGGAAAGATCGCACCAGGAGCAGATACGCGCGCGGGGCGGAGGGGTCTCTCGCTAACGAGAAGGCTATGAAAGAGAGGGGAAGAGACCGGGACTCGAGTGCAACGGCAGCGCGGTGCAGCAATGAGCCGATGACCTCATCAGCAGCATCAAGCAAAAACAAAACAGCAGCTGAATCCTCTGGAAGCCTCCAATAAGGCCCCACAACACACAAAATTCGTTTGTCAACTAACTGTAATGCGGGGCCAAACCAGCTGCGCACATGACTTTCCCAGAAACGTATAAACCGGATATGCGCGCCTTGTAACGGCGACGTCTCCGGGTTTCACGGTCCTCCTCTCTAGAGCGCTCCAGGGCGATTGTTATAGCTCGCAGCCTCACAATGGACGTCATTATGAATAGTGGGTATGATAGTATGTACGAATGTACGAATATGTACGAATAGCGCTCGTACGATTCAGGAGCACGGGGCCCCTGTTACGGTACCTGAAACAGCAGAGGTTCCGAGGGCATCTCCCCGTCCAGATGCGGTCGCGAGTACTGCGCAGTTGGCGAGCCGCCGCCACCGCCGTCTGCCGACTTGACAGCCACGTACGAATCGGAAAGCAGCAGCTTTCCGTCTTTTGTCTCCGAAACCAACAGCTCCAGGTCGCCGCCGTCCAGCGCAAAGGCCTGAGCGGGAAAAATTAATCGACAAAATTTTAGATGCATATGCTGTTATATGGATCAGCTACAACAATAATAACATAATAATTAATAATAACAGTAGTAATAATAGTAAAACAGTACACCAATAGATAGATAGATAGATGGAGAGATAGATAACGCTAGTATTAAGGCAAGTAAGTTCTGGCAAGAAGGCGAGTCAGCCGATGGTCCTAAGGGTCATGAACTTGTCTTTGGCCGCCCCCCCCTTTCAGACACACACAAACGCACCTGGAAGCCCTGGCGGCTTAGATCCAGTGGAGAGACCTCTGCACGAGCAGTAACGAAATGCGGTGCAGGGCGGCAACCAGAAACACACGCGTCTCAGCAGCACGCGTGTGGTAGCAGCGGCGATGAAGACAGGTACGGGGAATGTACAGGTTACCTAGCCCACAATCCGTAAGTGCATTGAATTGAATTGCATGTGGGGTGCTTAAAGGTTGCAGTGCCAAGATCAACCGCGGCTAAGGACGCCAGACATCTTCAACCCCCCTGCCCCCCCACACCCAACCATGTCCATAGCCGCACCTCCAGCTGCCCAACGCGGCTTCCCGAAAGTCAATCCCCTATCCCCTTTGCAAGCAATTGCCAGCCAGGGTGGGCTTTGCTAGCCTGGCTTCATGCGTAGAGGCCGGCCAGCGTTCTCCTCGCCTTTTCCCCAAATCCCCTTTTTCCCAAAACCGATCCGTACAACAGAAATGCCGTTCATTTCTCGCCATTAGTTTTTTCCACCCCTTTGGCTTACACACTTACCAGGGACCGCTAGCGCAGAGCTCCCGGCCGCCTCCCGAGCCGCCTTTTCCCTTTGCGCTGCAAGCTCCTTCTCTTTAGTAGCCACCGCGTCCATGAGTAGGTTGTATTCGGCCAGCGTGATGACAGTGCTCTTAGGCTTTCGACTGCTATCGGCCTGATTTTTACTCTCGGCATAGCTAGTGCTCGGCGCAGACTCTGAGGGATCAGGACCCTGCGCTGACGTCCTTTCTGCAGATGCAGATGCGTTCAGGTCGGACGCCTCTTGGCTAACGTCTCCGTCTTGCGCCCAGGCGGCTTCATCCTTCGTTGGGACGTTCGCGAGCGCGGCATCCCAGCCCGACGCAGAGTCGACACCGCCAGTTTCAGATGCATCCTGCTTTTTTAATCGTTTGCTACTCCGCTTTGCACGTGCAATTACCGACTTCTGCCGTTGCGAAGCGACTGCCGGCGGCGCAAAGGACCGGGGCGGCGCCGGAACCGTAAACGAAGTCCTTAATCTATGTGTGCCAAGAGGGCATCTAGCTATTCTCCCTAATTGCATGTTCCCCTATACAATCAAAGTATGTGGGCAGGAAAAGGGACCCAGAATACAGCTGCAGCCTGCTTAAGTTTGCTGCCTTAGATGATTAATAGCCACGCATTTGAAACAGTACGCAATAGCCCAAGCCTTTCAGTTTGCCACGGGAACCTTGCGGGATTGCGAACGACAACTCGTCTTGCCGGAAACCTTGACTGTCGCTATTAGGTTTATACAATGAATTGAACAGCTTGAGGTACTGACAATCGCTATAACAGAATCAAAATACGTCCAATAAACGTTGCCCGAAATAGTGAGTTTGTGACCCAAATTCGCTCCAACCGAACGCACCAACCGAAAGCTCACATTGCTGTCTAAGAAGAAGCTTTCTCGGCATCCCTGACATCCACATTCAGGCCATGACAATGTTGCTTTCACACAGCGTGGGTGCTGGTCCCGCCGCCGCCCCAAGGAGTAATGAAGTAGTTCACCGGCGCTGCACAGCAGTGGCCCACGCAACGCGCCAGAAATCCGGGGCTTCAACTTCTAAGACTAGTGACGTAGATGTCGATGGACGTGGGCCAACTATGCAGTCTTCAACTCGTGGTCGCACCAAGGCGGGCGACATAACAAAACGGGAAACCAAGCCACACAAAGCTCGACCTCCAAAGGAAAGTGCTCCACAAGGCGATGATGCCGGCGAGGCCGGCGAGGGGCTGGAGGGCCTGGATGAGCTGCTCGCCGACGAGGGTGCAGTACGGCAACTGCGCACCTCTCTCCTTGCGTCGCTGTCCGCGCAGCACGAGCAGGCCATGCGTTCTGAGCAAATGACGCCAACGACCCCAGACGCCGAAGCCAGCGGCTCCCCTCCAGCACTTCCCGCCGGCGCCGCTACCATTACCGCCGACCGCCGTACGACTACGCCAAAGCACAATACCGACAAGAGCGCCACCATCAACGGCGACGGCGCCGCCGCCGGCGTCCCTTTAGTAGTGCTCAAGAAGGACAAGGCCCGGCTGTTCGTCAGCGGCAACCCGATGGTGTACGGCGGTGCCGTAGACTGCGTCATCGCGCGGCCGCCGCCAGGCATTGGCGAGCCTGTCATGGTTACCGACGCGTCTCGCCGACCCGTGGGTTGGGGTGTGTATAACCCGCATTCCATGTTCCGCGTCAGGTGGGGATCAGGGGGGGGGTAGGGGAGACTCTAGTTGTATTACGGTGGACGTGCTAGGAACTCGTCTCATCGGTTTCGGAGCTTGTCATCGGTCTTAAATGCTGAGATTTACCGCTTGGTGTGACTGAGGGAATATCCGCGCGGCGTTCGAAGTCCTGTTCGGCCCCGAGAAGGAGAGGGGTTGTCCTGAGAGGAAGATTGGGCCCATGTACCCGCATAGCACATCGGCTGGAGGGTCCACACACACCCCAACTTCTCGAAAACAACAACAACAACTTCCCTAGGCTATGCCATAAAAGGACACCACAATGCGGAACCTCAGCCCGTGGTGGCTTCGGCCCTGTCAGACCGCTCCCCTCGTCGTTGTGTGTGGCCTTGAATCGGTGGTGGTCTTAAATCGGCGGGTTTTCCTTTCCTTGGACTTGACATTCCACCGTGTATTCCGTTTCAGGTTGTTCCAGATGCAGTCGGAGGTGGAGGCCGACCCACGGGTCGCTCTGAACGTGCCGGCGCTCGTGCAGCTGCGTGTACGGCAGGCGGTGGAGCTGCGGCGTGCGCTTGGGCTGCCGAGTGCTGATACCAACGTGTACAGGTGGGGGGAGGGGGGTTAGGGGGGGCCCGCGGGATAGACGGGCGGGGGAGGGGGGTGTGATAAGGGACTGGACGAGAGACGCCATGGCACGGGACGAGAGGGGGATTGAACCGCCGGGCGGAACGAAGGTCAACACGAGACGAGATGGGGCGGGATGGGAAAGCTGACGGAAGACTGGAGCTAGTGAGCTGACGGCGCATCCGACATGCCGGGTACCGCCGGCGCGTCTCCTCGCCCAGCCTGCTCATCTTGAAGCGCCGCAATGTGAAGTTCGCGTGCTCTAGGGAGCACGCGGAACTCTAGGGTTTCGCCACGATCCCTGCTGCCCTCCTGCCCCGACCCTGCTGCCCCGACCCTCTCCCCCACAACAACCGTTGCCAGGCTGATAAACAGCGAGGGGGACAGGCTCTCGGGACTGGTAGCAGACGTGCTTGGGGACACGGTGGTGGTACAAGCGGGGGCGGGATGGGTGCAAAGGTGAGTACGACATACTACATTATACGTGAGTACGGCATCGTACATTAGATCCCCTGGGAGAAAATATTCCCTGGGCATTTGTGCATTCGATGATGCATGCAGTTTGGACTCTTGGTGACAGTGCCCCGCCTTCCTGGAGACGTCTTGCTGATGTCAGAGAAATGTTTTTGGAAACATACCCGGATTCCAAAGAGGGAATTCAGGAAACCGTGAGCAGGGAAGGGAGGGGTAAAAAACCCCTAACGGCACGTGACGGAAAGGAGAAGGGTCTTTTTCCTACGAAACGAGCACACACACACATGCCCACCTGCCGTTTATGACGTACATGCACGTTCTCTTATTACCTCTGATTTAGACGCAAATATTAACCCAACGCACTGCGGATCAGCATTAACCCATTCGCGTATTCTAGTCTCGGAACATGCAAGCGATTGCCCATAATACGTACACATACGCATATATATATACGTGCGCAGGTACCGACAGGACGTGGAATCAGCCATCCGTGCCGCCACGGGGCTCACACGGGTCGTGTGGCGACCTTTGTGGAGGATTCTGCAGGAGGAGGGGCTGCAGCCGCCGGACGAGGCGGCGGAGGCGGATACCGGGGTGACGTCAGCTGCAGCTGCAGCGGCTGCGTTGCATGAGGGCGAGAGAGCTCCAGGGACGGGGATGCAGACGCAGGCACAGGCACAGGCGGGTGAGAGGGAGACGAAGGCGGCGGAGACAGCAGCAGCAGCAGCAGCAGCAGCGGCGGGGGCGGCACCGGCGTCGGGGGGAGGTACGGGCGATGATGATGATGATGAGGAGGAGGCGGTTGCAGAGACGGAAACGGAGATGCTGGAGGTTCGGGAGGCAGGTTTGCGGCTGCTGGCGAGCCCCAAGGTGTGATACCGGGATGGCTCGAGGGAGGGGTGGAGCGGGGCAGTGCCTGTATGGCGTGAGGAGATGTGGGAGGAACGTAGTTGTATGAATGCAGACTTGAGAGGAGTCGGGTGTAGTGCTTGGTGGGAAATAGTACTGTTGAGGATTTGAACAATAGACTTGTGAAGCATAGAAGTCTGGTCCAGATGGCAAACATGTAGCACGGTGCAATTTCGTCCATTCTCAATGTCTTCTCTGACGTCTGCCATTTTAGTGCTCCTAGTTACCATCAGCCGCGACTGTCATCACCTTCATGAACATTTTCACGAACACTTTCATGAACGCATCTACCCCTGCAGGGCCAGAAGACCGGGTTCTACGCTGACCAGCGAGACAGTCGGGGTTTTCTGGCTGGCTTGGTTCGAGCGCAGGCGGCCGCTGGGTTGCCAGTCTCGGTGCTGGACCTTTGCTGCTACAGCGGCGGCTTTGGGCTGGCAGCGGCGGCGGCCGGCGCGACGCGTGTCTTGGGTGGGTAGGCTCGGCGGCATTTGGTTCGGGTTACGACACTTAGGGGATTCGAACCAAGCTGGGGGACTGGCAAGGAACACCGCGGATGCAATATTCTTTATTTCGGGGTTTTGACATTCCTTCGTGCACATAACGAACGAAATTCATCCAATATCCAGTATAACAACTGCAACAACTAAAATATTTGCTGAAAAAATTATTATATTTTGGCAGACCTACGGCATGAGAGACTCTCTTAGCGCATTCGTTTTTGCTTCATCCTATCAAGGTGTCGACTCCTCCGAGCCGGCGGTTAAGCTTGCAACTGCCAACGCCGAGCTAAATGGCCTGTCTGCAACAGCATCCTTTGTGCGCGCTGATATAAGTGACTTCATGAAGGCAGCGGTGGCGCAAGGTCAACAGTATGATGTTGTGGTACTTGACCCGCCCAAGCTGGCGCCGGACCGTAGCGCTCTGGCGCGTGCACGCATCAAGTGAGTTGTTATTCATTAGTCAGCTGGCTGGTCAATCCGGGTCAATCAATTGGTTAATTTGTTACTTTGCAGCTGTTGTATCTATAACAGCACGTTTTGTGTGCTATTCTTCTATCTGTAACCCAATTCTTCGGCCCTTCTGCAAGGTGTTACTCGCAGCCATGTTTCCCATCCCGGGGGAACTAAGTTACACGGTCAGGGATTTCAAATTCACATGTTCGCGTGGAGATTCCGCCTGTCCTCTGTCCCTAAGAACCCGCGCCGTGGTACCGCTTCCTGGTGGTACCCTTTGGCTACAGGTACCTCCGGCTCAACACGCTAGCCATGCGGCTGGTCCGCCCCGGCGGGCTGCTCATGACTTGCTCCTGTAGCGGGGCCATGACGCAGGTGCGTGCTGCTTGCGAGGGCCGAAGGCTAGGTAAAAGTGGGAGAGTTTGCTGGTGTTAAGGAATGGGGCTGATGCTGGGCTGGGGGATGACTGACGGCGGCCGCTGATGCCCAACGAATGATGCTGGGGTTCCGATGGTGTTGCTGCATGAGCGGGCAGGTGGCGGACGGGAGGGGCTGCGGAGGAGAGTGCGGCCAAGCAGCTGCTTCATGCGGCCCGCGCACCGTTTACCGTACGTGGCTTTGCCCCCATTCGACTCCGAGGGTGACCCTGATGACCGTGAACACCTATTCGGACCACTGTCCCATGTCCTGCTTTAACAGCTGTCGCGGAAACAGTACTGGGCCCGTCACGTGTGCTGAGATCCTCCGGGCTCCCGGTGTATTTGCACAGTAACTTACCTGCTGAGGCGCTCGCGCTTATGCTGCATGTTGACTTGTATCCATGTGGGTGTGAAAACTGCAGAGTAATGAGTTTGTGGGCATGGTAGTGGAGGCGGCACAGCAGGTGGGTGCACAAGAACGTGTTCGCTGATTGTTCTGTTGGAAGGGAAGTTCCTTTATTGCGCATGTAGTTGAGTTATGTTGCCGGAAGAAGAAGTGTGGGAAGGTGGGCAACACTCGAACCCGGCAGGCGAGGTTACGGGCGGCAGCAGAGGGGTAGGGATTGGATGTAGGGGACCGTGCGGCCACGATCACCGCCTAGCTGTTGCTCCCCTAACCGTCTTTCCTCTCGTCTACACGCAGCCTTCCCTCTCCACATTCTTTACATGGTTGCCGCCACGTTACACGGGCGCGAATCTCCGCAGGTTGGTCGGCAGCCGACGCTTCTCCGTGAGGCGGGTGCGGCGGCGGATCACGTACTCAACCCCGCATACCCGGAGGGAGAATACCTCACAAACGTCACGATGCGCCTGCTGTGAGGGATTCGGTGGCCGTGGGGAATTGCTAAAGAGACACGCCCCGAACTGGGAGATAGGTGTCACCTCGGTGGCCAAGGGAAGCATCCCTGGATGGGGGTCGGGTATGTTTTGAGTTGTGGAGCTGTAGAGTGGTGGTAGTACTGTTAAAACACTGGTAATTAGCCTTCAAGGGGCCACTGCAGCTAGGCAGCTAGGCACTGTCGCTTCTCTAGCTGCAAATGGGTGCGGTGAGCTAGCTAGCTAATATTGGCAGGGTACCTTTCCAATACGCACGATGATGCACGGTCGCAGTGTACGGTTGTTCAAACGCTTCCACTGCGCCCGTCTTTGCAAATGGTCTTCCTGTGCATACGTTCAGTTTGGTCCGGCCGCCGTCCGGCCCGACGCCTGAGGAACACTGTCCTTTGCGCCATGATCATCGTCAAACTGAAGTATTACTATCCCGATACCGCAATCCACCTTGTCATTCATGCGCATGTACTTACAGCAACATGTGGGAACATTGCCTGCCTGATACGTAGGGCTCGCACCTTATGTGGATTTAACCTGCAATTCGCACTGTAAATTGCTGACTCACCACCATGCTATTCCAGATACCATTACATAAAGGACCGAAAAGACCGGGAGATCACAGCACAACCCCTAATTAAAGGATAACAGGACGTCTGATACCCACGGCGTGGGGACCAACCAATCTTGGCCCGTTCTCTGCTGCATTGGTTCCGTCGAGAGACCCGCATAAGACTCCTCGCAAGCAATTAGCTCAGGACCATGAGAGCCCTGTACCAGGTTCCCAACGAAACTTACAGCTGCTCCAAAGGGGGCGTGCGAAACGCAGCAATACTCGACCACTTCCCCATCACGGGGACAGAGAAAATAAAAAATATCTACGAAAATATCTACGAGCAGCTCCTAACCCGACGAGAACGGAGATAAGATTAGATGGAAAATCCTGCAATAATGAAAAACATCGCACTGTGGTTTTTATCAACATGAGCAGCGGCATCTCTGCTGACCAGGACAATGCCGAACCACAAACAACAGCGTACCGGCTTTCGCTTTCATGGAAATGTGCACTTGGCAAAATGACCTCGCCACAGCATCAAGCGGCAGATCTACATTCCTCCGAACAGCCTAAGATCTGCAGATTTTTGCAGCATCCTACTGGGAAAGCGCTCAAGCCGGCTAACCTGTCATACCAGTAGCCGTCGATGCAGCCCCTGCCAACTCAAGCCCAACGCTGACCTACTGCCAGACAAGAAAAATGTTTTAGGTACATTCAACGGAAGATAACTACAAGGCAGGGGTTAATGCTCTAGCATGCTGAACATCGACATAAATAAAATCAGCTCTATACGGGATGAATCGCGCAGCTTTCCGCCTCCTACTGACAGTCTACCTAGTTGCACGCACAGGGAGGTGACCAAGCTCCTGCTCCCAGCCATTTATAAAAACTGTGCACTCCAGCAATGAATAGGCACCCAATCGTGCGCATACCCACAGTATTTACTCTAGTCATGTTGTTAACCATGACATCTATACGTAAATGGAACAAAATCAAAACCGGTTCGCTAGGAAAAAAATAAAAATGGCCGTGCAGGGTTGCGATGGGCTAATAATAACAAATATGGACTATGGCATTGGAGTCGGAGCCATAAACAAACTCAATAGAAGTGCTGAAACCACGGTCCATAGGGTGGCGCGCACAACTCCAGCCGCGCTAGCTTGATTGTTACCTGTGCCATTGGTAACGTTACCATACTCCTGGACGGCGAACACCTCAGTTACGTAGTCGACATTTCCAGGGTCGTCGGCCGCCAGGTAAGCTGATGTTGTGGTCTGGGTTGGGTCATACAACACGAAGCTGCTGGAATTGTATGGCGCTGGATTAGGAAGGTCCATAACTACTGCCACCGCTCCATCGTCCTGCGTCAAGCTAACGTTCACGGGCATTTTTTTGACACCCGCAGTGGTCCTGCCTGCAGCCGATGAGTTGGCCTCCTGCTCGCCGTCGAGCGCATAATCAAGGAAGCTGAGGGAGGAGTTGTACGACGAGCCGAGTGCGACCTTCAGCCGCCGGGTGCCGTTGTTGGCTGTGCGCGTGGAGAAAATCAAAGGTCGGTACGGACGGATTTGTTATGGAAAACGTTTAGCAAAGAACTTATAAAAAACCCGCCTCAGACGCTACGATGCTTTCTTACAAATGCATGTGCGCACAACCAGCAAGCGCGGCGGTAACCCATGTCCGAACATCCTAAAGGCTTCCCAGTAGCTATTAAGTGCTGCACGACAATGCTGGTCCGAAACAATAGATTCACCAGATTTATGTACATGCTGGCCCCCCGTCGGCTCATGTACACATTGCCCACCTCCGTCCAGGGCGACCTGCGCCGTGGCGTTGTTGGCAACTAGCAAGTAGAGCGACACCGAAAGCGTGTTGGAATCGTTGCAAAAGGGCCTGCGGTAAATTTTTATTCGGGCGGAAGGCATGGTCCATTTTCGTGTTGGGAACCAGCAATAAAACAACTGCCAAAAGCAGAGCGAATGGGAATTATGCGTAGGTTGGTATCGCAAACGTGCGCTCCTATAGGATAAAGTGACACGCACAACATGTGAGGGCTCCAGAATGTCGACCATGCATACATGCCCAGATGCGCCGGAGCTCATCCTCTGCCGGTTGAAAAGCTTCCCATAACAAAACGGCCTAATAGACAAAACACACTCACCAGTCCCTGTACGACACCGTCCATTTTAAGCCGTTGCGGGGTATCGTAATGTTGGTTTCACCATAAGGAACTGTTAATGCATCGTCCAGTCCAAATAGTAGCGATACGTTCAGTTGCGGATCCCGGGTACCGTTCCCTCCATCGACACCACCTCCGTAAATGGGCGCTGGAAGCAAGTAATGCCGCTGTGGCTGTGTAGCCGGCGGCGCATCGCTGCGCAACTGGCCCCCGTGCAACAAGTGGCGGGGAACTGTCTCGCTGCTTCCGCCCTCAGCATCCCCGTTGCCACCATCACTCGATGTATTGCAGCTGGTGCTGAATTCTTCAAAAATCAGAGGATTGAGGCTAAAGTTGACGTACGACATGTTGACACCGTTGACCGTTAGGTTTCCGGCGGTGAAGAGGACGTCTTGGGAGTCAGCGAGGGAGGGAACCGAGTGGTGGGGCACGGGGTGGCCATAGCGGTCCATCTCCTGCACCTTGCCGAAGCGGAGCTGCAGGTAGACGCCGGGATCCGAATAGTTGGGGTAGATGCGTACATTGGCAGAGCGGCCCAAAAACGCAACCTGGAGTGCCCGTCAGGGGGGAAAACATAGGAGGCCCGTTGTGTTATGCAGGCGTCAAGCAAGCGCCGAATCGATAACCCAGGGGCAACGTAGACACACTCCCTCAAGACATACAGATGCGTGCACAACTTTGGCTGCCCAACAGCTGAAAAGCCCATGTTTCATATCGATGACCGCCCTCCCGTTTTTTTAACGCGTCGCATTCGTGCAAGTGCATCCGTCATCTCGATGGTACACGACCTCTCCATACATTTCCATACGGTTCCGTACGGCGGGTTGCGGTCAACAATAGGAGCAGCTTTTTGCCTATCGCACCTACTTTGCGCGGGCTCTTGCGGTCGTCAAACTCTGTCTCGCTACGGTTGTTCGGGCGGCCCCAAGCCCTTGGGCGTGGATCATCACCGCGGGGACGGACATCCGGGTGCTTGACATCAGGGTTGGCGCTTAGGCATTGGACGGCAGGGTCTTCACAGGAAACCCCACGAGCTCCATGCTCCAATCCATCTGGCTTCTCGTTGCCACTTCCTGCAGCAGTCGCGGCGCCTTGGCCCGAGGCTTGTGAGTTTCCGTTGCCGTTTCCTGGGGTAGTCGCGAAGCCATGATCTAAACCTTCTGGTTGCACGCTTCCTAGTGTTTCAGGTATCGTGGTATTTCCGACCGCCTGCATATCATGCGGTTGGACATCAGAGCTACCCCCGTACCGGGTTGGCTGGAAACAGCAGTAGGCTCGGCTCCGTCCGTCTGTGTGTGACTGGAACCACGCCATTTTTGAGTCCCTTGCACAGGAGGTTGTTCCGAGTTTCCTGGTGCAGGTTGATCCTTGAGCCGTCGTGGAACCACTTGGCCGCTAAAACTCTGGCTGGCGATCATGTCGGCCCGCCGGTAACTGTCGGCCTGCTTGAGCTTGCCAGCATCAAAACCTGGATAATTGAGGTAAGAAAAAATGTTTCAAATTAAATTTTAGGCCCACACTCAGAGCTGTCTGTCCAGTATGTGAACTCGCCGAGTTGGTCAATTTCCAAAGCCAGAAGTGGAAACGGTGTTACACAAGCAAGTACAATCCCAAATAAGTAGAGAAGCCTTGGATTCATTACGAATTGCCCCAGCAAGGAGGAGAGTTTTGTGGTTCGTGCAATTTTTCAATTAGTTACGATTATGAATGGTAATTAACCTATCGTGCTCGAATTACTTTGAAATTGGATAGTAGTCTGCAATTGTACCATTTTCTCTTCGAGTTCTGACGCCCTTCAAACTTTCGACATGTTTTCAGAAGTACGTGCCGTACGGCTGCAGCCGCAGCCCGCAAGCACCCGGCTTAAATGTCACACGGAGCTGTGATGCCCCACATATCATCAATCCGTAAGCCTTGCTTAGGCGTCACAAATTGTAACGTGCACGAAAACATGCGGACCTTCCAGTCCTTCATCCGCAAAATGGGGTATGAGTAGATCCACCAAACAGGACCCATCGCTTGCGGCCATACAGTGGGAAGCCATGGTCTGATATGGCCCCTCCGAATCAGCGATACCGCCCTAACCATTAGTCCAGAAACCGAAGTCTGGGCTGGGCTGGGCAAAAAGAGAACTCCCAGGCACAAGGGCTCTGGATCAAACTTTGGTCTAAACGTGTAAAACGTGGCACGCAATATTTGGGAACAGTAAATCCCAAAAAACTATACATAGCACAGCTGGTCCTACAAAGCAAGGAAGATGCAATATGGATGGCATCAACGACCGCGATGCGGACCCATTCTGCGTTTCGAGGCCAGCCTGCGTATCGCAGATGCTAGAGGCCAGCGACCATGGGCAAGCCCACCAGGATGCAAGTAGGTTGGGTTGCTCTGGACATGCACATGCAGCTACGGTTCCAACCTGATGCACGTAGGTTGGGGTGCTCTGGGCATGCACATGCAACTACTCATGCAGCAAGCGTGCAAATGCCCTCCTGTACATCGGTATTAAATATAAGGGTGAAAACGGTTAGTCATTTTCACCCTTACATGCCATACGCATTCATCATTACCCAGGTGCCTGTGGGATTTCGGTGGGCGCCTAGACTGCTTGCTGGATAGAAGTTCGGCTCTATCAAGTTCCGACTAGTCCTGACGGCTTCTGTGCCGTTACAATGAGTACGATAGATAAGTAATAACGTCGTAGGGAGGACGTTATAAAATAAATTAGCCATTCAAGTAAATATAGCACATTTGCGACAAAGTACCACCATGTGCCCCTGGCAATCTTGGCAATCTTGGCAACAGATGGATTGCACCATGCATTTGCCCAAACTGCATAAACAAGAGCGAACTTGGGTGGGAATAAAAGTATCGACGTCGATTTTAGGGCAATTAATCGAACCAGTCTCAGGCGGTCCTCTCTGCGTCCACCGGAGGCTGTACGGTAGAGTACGATAGCCAAATGTGCTTGAAGACGAGACAACGGAAATCCTTTGTGCATCTCTCTTGTCGTAACTCCTCACTTACCATTTTTTTATTCCAGCTGTAGTGACCATTTCGAAGCGAGTTTGCCATGGCTGCTGCCTTAGCAGCCGAACTTGATCGATCTCCCTCACCACAAGGATTGGTGAGAACAGAAATATATCAAGCTTATGACCTGTACGTCGGTATGCCTTAAGTCTTTGCCTAACAGCTTACATGGGATTCAAAACATTCCCAGGACTACGGTGAAGGCTTGGTCGATGATCGTTTGGTGATTGAGGAGCGGGAGCTCTACAAGAAACGTATTGAAGCGGAAGCTATAGCGTCGGATGGCAAGAGCAAGAGTGACGACATTGACACTGAGGAGGACGAGGACTGTGACTGCGACGAAGAAGATGGTTCCAAGGTTAGTGCCCAAGAATACGCCGGCCAGATGGGTTGCAACCTGTGACTGAATTAGAGCATCTCAATTCCCAGGAAGGCGCGGGGCCGGCCGAGGACGGAGGGGCCAAGCTTTTGGAGCTGGTTGGCAAATCTCAGATGTACAGCAGCTGGTTGGCTGACCAGTTCAAAGATGTTGTGGAACAAACGCTGGCTGCGGCAGCGGCTGGAGCTGTTCAAAGTGGCGTGGAGGAGCGACCCTCAAAGCGTCGGAAGACGGGGCGTGGCAAACTGCAGGATAACGCCAAACCTGCCGTCCCCTCAGCAACGAAGGTACAGCGGCCTTGTGCCTCTCACTTGTCATTCGCAGGATCTGCGTTGAGTTTGGAGGCACAACCCAAAAAGGGTAACCTTGCAAGCTGCTGTGAGGGCCAACCTGAGCACTCGGTGCAAACGCAGTTATTTCTAGCCTGATGTGACCCAGCACTTTAGAGAACCAGTGCAAGTACCGGTCTCGCAACATGCATATTATTGAAGCGCAAGCACTCTGGGTTATTCCGGTCGTAAGTTACTTCCGCTTGTCCGCCTCCCGCCGCAGGTCCTCCTTCCACTGATTACAGCAGACCTTCGCGACTATCAGCTCAAAGGCGTGGCATGGCTCATCAGTCTCTACAAGAATGGCGTGAACGGCATCCTGGCCGACGAGATGGGCCTTGGGAAGACGGTAACATGCGTGGCCAGTGCGTATTCTTTTAATTAGCCACTCAGGTCCATCTGCATCTGGGACATATTTATTGTGCGTGATGCTCGTCCCAGTCTCTCCATGTAATCTGCGTGTCAACCCCTCACCTTCTCGGCTGCAACCCCTTTTGTCCTTTTCCACTCTCACCACAGCTGCAAACTATCAGCTTCATCTCCTACCTTTGGGGTCACGCTAAGGTACGGTCGTGAAAAGCACTGGCTTGAATTGCGGGTGCTGATGCAAACTGCTTGACTGTCCAATGGTCATAGGAGTCCCAGTCCTTGCATTAAGACACTTGATCGTTTCTGTGTCGTTGCTGTGTTTCGAATACCCGAGGTGTGATACTTCCATTTGCATACACATCCGCATAGATAGGTGTGATTTGGGTCTGACGGGGCGCAACCCTCTGGGCTACGCCTGTAGGATGTGAGCTCGAATTACATGGTCATTGGACCGCTGTCCACCCTGAGCAATTGGGTTGCGGAGTTCAATCGCTTCTGCCCGAGCATCCCCGTGCAACTCTACCATGGGACGCCGCCGGAGCGCGAATCCATTCGCCGTAACCAAATGAGCAGCACCGGTGAGGTTTACATGCATGCACAGTACATACTTACAAATAGTGGGTCCGACTCACAACCATGAAGGGCATTGCAAGCTCTCAGTCGAGGTGTGGGCCGAGAGCATCTGCCATGCTGAAAGTCCACATGCATTGAATCTAACGGCTGAATGTACCCTTGAGTGCGACTGACCCTATGGTCTGGTCATGTCCAGTCACATTTGTACGTTGTTGTAGTAGCTGGCCGCTGAAAAGGCCTCTCGAGATGCTGGTGGACCGCTTAGCGCATATTTGTAGTTGTTATGTGTGCCGTACTGTGTACTAGCTACTACAGTTGTTTTCTCCGCATTCTTCCAAGTTGCAACTTCCCCGGTGTAACCTGTTCACCTCTTTTCATTTCCGATTTTGTACTGTGTGTGTGGAGACCCATGAGGTACCATGGGGCGCAAAGTTCGTAAACTGGCAATTGTCGACCTGATGTGCAGACAAACAAATGCCTGTAATCGTGACAAGTTACGAGATTGCCATGGCAGACCGGTGCCACCTCGAGCGTCACAAATGGAAGCTTCTCGTAGTCGACGAGGTACGATCAGTCCAACTGGTTTGGCACCTGCCCAAGAGGCAATGGCTGCTGGATTATGTCATGAGCATGGCGTGCTGGGGGCCGGTGGGGAGGCTTCAGGGGCATTCTGCGTTACAGGCAACGAGGTTTCATTTATTTCCTAAATCAGAGAGCGCAATAGACCGCGCTAGTTCGGAATGCCCCATGAAGGCCCCGGCCACTAAGGGTTAAAAGGTTTTAAGGGGTTAGAAGGTTTTTTTGAAGTGTTTTGAAGTTAGAAGTTCCTTTTGGCCCGCATCACCTTTTTCACTCAGTCGCAAGATCGGGACCTTGTAATAGTTTTTAACGGAGAAATTTACAATTATATTGAATTGCGTGATGAACTTATCAAGAAAGGGCATCCTATTATTTCGCATTCTGACACAGAAGTACTCATATACGCATATAGAGAGTGGGGAGACGCTCTCGACCTGACTCCGTGTGCCGTGTGCTTTGCGCGTCCTCAGGGCCACCGCCTTAAGAACTTTGACTGCAAGCTCCTTCGTGAACTGCGCCGCTTGAAGACGGACAGTCGCCTGCTCCTTACCGGTAGGGCTGTCTGGCGCCTGGTGCTACCCGCGTTGGCTTGCCATGTCCTTTTATCGATGCCTGCACATCTGCCTGTGTGTATATTAAATCATTGAAGTGATAGTCTTGCCCAGTTCTGCCCATTGTTGCGCACCCCGCCGCCCTCTTTTGCAATTAATAACGCGGTGCCACATGCAACTCCACGCCGCAGGCACGCCGCTGCAGAACAACCTCCGTGAACTGTGGTCGCTCCTGAGTTTCTGCATGCCGAACATTTTCGCGGACGCCGGCGAGTTCCTAGACTGGTTCGATTTCCGCACTCCGGAAACGGCCATCCCTGCGGCGGTGAACGCGCCATTTGCATCTGCTAGTAGTGCCGCCGTGGTGGAGAATCAGATAAAGCGGCGCGGCCGGAAGCCGAAGGCTACAAAGCAGGCAACGACCGGAGCGGCCTCCACAGCGCCGGTACAGGGTCATATGGGTTTGGGAAGCACACCGGCCCAGGGCATGCGCATGGAACGGCCGAGCGATAGCGCCTGCAAAGGATCTTCTCCGCTGTGATATGCACCGCTGATTTGGGGCTAGGCTGGCCTTGGCCACCATGTCGCGGTGAAGGACTTGGACGGCTTCTAGTTACGTTGTATGGTTGAGCAAGTACGCATTGTTGCGGCTGAGCAGCATGGTCAGCACCAATCACTTGACCTGCCGCTGCGTCGTCCAGGTAGCTCAAGTCACACCAACACCTGAAAATTGGGTGCGTTGGCCCGTCTCGGTGCATACGTGTCGCATGGGCTATGGTCAATGTCCTGAAATGCAAATACGCGGGAACGGCCAGACACGCCCGAGAAGCCCTTAAATTTCATGAACATGTATGTGCATGTACAGTGCTCCTTTATCATGAGCACTCCAGCACACATTGCGTAGCTTTCCGTTACGCATGCTTGCTGGCTGGCGGCTTGTCCACAGGCTGACTCGCAAGCTTCCAGCGGGCAGCAACAGCAGGCGAGGGCGACGATGGTGTCGCGGCTACATGCCATCCTCAAGCCGTTCGTCCTGCGGCGGGTCAAGGCGGACGTCGAAATTGGCGTGCCACCTAAGCAGGAGGTTGTGCTTTATGCGGAGATGACGGAGGAGCAGCGACGCCTCACACGAGGCCTTATTGACGGTTCGCTAAAGGTAAGCGCTAATGCCGGCAGAAGCTCGACATCCGGGATACCTTGGTTGACTTTACTAGGACCTGCGACGCCAAAGGCATCTAACATGAAAACGTGACCATTGGCAAAGCTCGGCAACTGGGGAGGCCTCAGTTGGAGGAGCTCCTATTTGTCTATTGCGTTCATACCAAGGGAACGTTTTTCGTGCTGGGTCGCTCTCCTATATATTTGCACCAGCATGGTATCTTCCTTTTGGCAAGGCCTGCAGCAAGGACGATTCACTTTGTGAATGTGCAGGAGGAGTATGCCAAAGACGGTGTTCGAGGCTCGCTCAATAATCTAATCATGCAGATGCGCAAGGTAAGGATCGTACGCTTGGCTACTTCTGGCCACGCTGGCCTGTCGAGAATGCGGAACCTCAACGCCTACTCCGCAGGCGGCGCAACTGCGGGCATTTTCTCGCATGCTTGACATCGCCATCTGGCATTCACCCTCGTTCGGCCCACGATTTGGGTCCTTCTCTCTTGGTTAATACCAGGGCAAGGCGCTGCCAAAGAGCAGTCGCTCTAGTCATTGGGGCCTGCTGGACACTCATGTGCATGGACCGCTCGCGCAGGTTTGCAACCATCCGGACCTCATTACGGGACGGGCCTCCGGTGAAATCTGCTATCCGCCTGCAGCGGAGTTAGTGGCGGAGTGTGGAAAGCTGGCGCTTCTGGATCGCCTCCTAAAGGAGCTTCGCAAGGGCGGGCACCGCGTCCTTATCTTCTCGCAGGTGCGAATGCATGCTACGGTAGCCTCGGCTCCCTCACGCTTTCGCTTTTCAGGGGGCGCTATAATGAAAAGCCGTTGCCCACTCGGGCGCGTCAGCACGGCGCGCGGCTCATGTGAGGCGGTGATGTTATGCTGCTGTTGCTTTTGTTAATAAGCACCTATCTCCACGCGCTGGCTGGGGTAGGCGCGTGAAGAAATGGAGCGGCAGGGGAAAAGCGAGGAAAGCGAGCCATGCGGTTTGATTGGCTGTTGAGCTAGCCGCTGCTTGTGTGCCCTGTGGAATCTGGAATTTACTGTGTAGCCTTCCTTGCTGCACCTGGGCGATCATGGGGCTTAATGCTGACGAAGCGTGGGGCTCTCAGACAAGTTGTCTCCCATGGCTTCTCTTCTTTCAACATCAGCTGGTGATACGCTTGTACGCATGGGAAACATTAGTACATTACTTAAAGGGGCTTTTTCATTCGCACGGTTTGTCAGATGACGGAGATGCTCAACGTCATTGAGGCTTACCTCCAGGACCTGGGGATTCAGCCGCTCCGCATCGATGGTAGCGTGCACTGGCAACAGCGCAGAAACGACATCGCGGAATTTCAGGCAAGTGGGATAGTATATGGGACATATGAGTCGCATTTCGTCTTTCAAGTAGATTCAATGAAGCCGCGGACAGCATGTACACCTGCCATGTTTTGGGCGGTATTGCACGGTCTGCAGAACCCCCCCTTGACTGCTGCGCGAATAGCGATGCTCCACAAAGCAGCAAAAGCCGCGTATATATTATCGTATGTGCATGGCATTGCAGAGTCCATGCATGCTGTGACAATAAAGTCATTTTAAGCTATGTGCGTCCTGTGGCAACCTTGCAGAGCGGAAATTCGGATAAGTGGGTTTTCCTGCTTTCCACACGCGCTGGCGGACTGGGCATTAACTTGACCGCGGCGGACACGGTCATCATCTACGACAGCGACTGGAATCCGCACCAGGACGCACAGGTGGGAAACGAAAAGGTTTGCTCGGAATGATGGAAGCCGTAACGAACGCAGGACGTCATGGGTATAGATCGTGTGAGTCACGTTGATAAGCACTTTCCTTCGGTTTGGGGCTTAGTTCATCGGCAAATCCGCTTAATTCATCACCGAGGAGCAGAGGAGGAAAGGAGGGAAGCAATGTTGGTTCTTCACGCGGGGCTGCTCGAGACTTTTCTCTTCAGAGGTTTGGGGGTGTCTCGTGTTTAAACTTAAGCTTAGCCCTCTTTTCTAGAGCCACCCACTTGGCAGCACATCATGCTTCGACTGCAGCAAGGCAAGGGATTTTAGCCATCCTTGAGTTGCTACCGCGTGCCTCAACGTGACAGCTCCTCAAACTCTGGTCTTTGCAACTGTCCTTCGCGTTGTTGGTGCTTTTTGGCTCTGCTCTCTTGCCTGCTTGAACGTTCAGGCGATGGACCGCTGCCACCGCATCGGGCAGACCAAGCCGGTGCTGGTGTTCCGGCTGGTTACGTCGAACAGCGTAGAGAACCGCATGCTGGCGAAGGCCGAATCGAAGAAGGCGCTCGAGCGCATCGTCATCAAGAAGGGTGCCTTCAAGGAGCTCTTGCAGGTCGGTGCCGGCCTGGTGTGATCTTGAGTGGCGCGGTGATGGGGCGCCGCTCCGGAATGTTGTTCAACTGCAGGATGAAAACTGCCAAACCCTTGTATGCATTTTGCAGGTCGCCTTTTCATTCCACGGTGCAGTTCCTTGTCAGATCAATTTCGTATTACGATTCTTCTGTGACCCGCAACCGCTTGTCTCGACTCCAAATATTTTGCTTTAGGTTGTTGCATGTGGACCTATATAATCTCGATGAGCTGCTGTTCCTCGTCCACAACATCATTATCGCCTCCCCGTATCCAGCTAGAAATAATTCCTTCCTACAAATGGACGCTTTGGAAATGCAATCGTTACTACCAATGGTGCCGGTTCTGCAGCGCGCGAGCATGGTTGTTGTTTCCCCTTAGCAAAGGGCGCGACATCATGTGCAAATGCAAGTTCACCAACAAAAAATCCGAAGAGCCTCCGAGTTATGTCTGCAAATTTGGGTCATTGCCCAGCCTTTTGTATGGTCGTACTTGATTTTCTGGACTAGTCTTGGTTGTGTGGCTCATATTGGCTGTGCATAATATTCACATGGCAAGTATCCGCTGCAGTTGCTACAGAAAGTGCTACAGAATGCACACACACACACACACTTCCAAGTGGCAGCGTAGAAACCGCACCCACCGCAACTTCGCTGTGTTCGAAGCTATGAAGCTCCTGCCCAGCAAAATGGAAGCCACTTGGCAACCAAGGGTACTGCGGTTCAAAGCCGAGGTTTAGACCATATCCGCGCCATTGCTGCTTTTGTGCTTGAGTTTTCCCTCCTAGCATTCGGCATGGTTGCCAACCGTTCCCTGATTCTGACCGGCTGTTGCACCCGTCGCCCTCTGACTATACTTGTGCCCGGCTTCCGTTATCGCTGCTCCACGCAGTCGACGTCGTCCACCTCGGTCGACGAACTGGTGCAGTTACTGAACCCGGATCGCCGCTCCCAGGACCTGGCGCAGTCAGGTGTTGTCTCGGATCAAATGCTGCGGAAGCTGCTGGACCGCTCGCACCTTGCGATGGCTGCACCGGATACTAGAAGCCAGGCACAGGATAAGTCCGTAAAGCAGGGAGCACGGCCAAAGGGGGACAAACCTTTATGCGACTCTGCTGACAAGAAGGGCGCACGCATGCCACCCTACCCGCTTCAGGGTGTTGGTTACGAGGTCGTGCTGGACGAGCCGCACCGCCCCACGGGCTTGCTGCAGACCATTGACGGGCAGTGAGCCGGGATGGGCAGTGCAATGCGGCTACTCCCGCCTGGAGGAAGCCATTACATATGATGGTGATGGGTACGTTTCAGTGCCTTTGGAGTATATGCTGGGTCCCCTGGACTTGCCCACTGAGCACGAGTGCACACGGCTATGTTGACCTCACGTGAGTATGCCACCGAAACTTAACAACTTTACAAGTATGTAGCGCATGTAGCTACAGTAGCGATGGAATGCAAAATTGCCACGCGGTCGCTATGGGAGGTCTGTTGTCTCCCCTGTTTGTAGCAGCAAATGTCGCGAGACTTGCTTGAACTCATTTTCGAGATGTCGGTTATGACTGGCGTCGACCATTGTCACGCTTCTTCCAGCCCGGTGGATCGGGATGGCTAAACGTCACTTCCGTTGCCTTGTTGGTGCGCATTACAAGGGATGATTAGTTTTTCCAATTGATTGTTCTTGCTCCTTGGTACAGTTTGGCAACTGAACAGTTCAGCTTTTAGGCACATACCTTCAGCTGAACCACGAGCATTGAGTCAAGCGGCTGTAGGTCCTGCACTTCCTCACTTGTCAGCAATTTGTTTCCAGTGTGTCATCAGGAGTGTCTTCCCACATGTGAACGACAGTGCACTGGCATAATTTGAATTGACGTTGCATCACCGGATTAGTCATGATTTGGCGCTTGTTCTTGGAAGCGCTAAATGAAGTGCGCTGAAGGTCGCTGCTGGCCTGGGCCAGTCTTTCTGGCTGCTGGGTTAGACGCCTCTGCCTTATGCATGCATGTTTTTGCTTAAGCAACACATTTGCCGTACGGTATTGGCGTGGCCATGATCCTCACCTTAGGGTGCTCTCGCACGTTAGGCCGGGGCTGTTTCAGCGTGGCTTTTTCCTTGCTTGGCCCATCGGTTCCGATCAGGTGGGAGCTTCAGTGTACAAGGGTGAATGTTTAAAGTTCAGCGTACATGTCCTGCCGTTTAGGCGGCGGAGTAATGCTTCTTCCTTCCCAAATGTATGGTGGTTAAAAATACTGTGTGCCCGTATATCGGCGAAGTTAACAGGGCCATGGTTATGCGCCTAGATGGACCCATGTAATTCATACCTTTTCACTGGAGTAAGCATACAGCTAGTTGGGAACTTTAATATTGAAGTTCCGAAATCGCACAGTTTTTAATCTTCAAGTTCCCAAGTCGCACATCAGAGCAAGAGAAGCGGCCAGTTTGAGTAATGACAAAGAGTATGCGATTGGCTCGATTCAAAGCGGTTTCCAACCCATTGTTTAATCCCACAAAACAAATCTTTATGTATACCATAGGTGCGAATTGAAAGCTTAATATTGCAGGTCACAAAGGTACCTCAGAACATGCTTTGCAGCTGCGTAAGGAGCAACGAAGTGCATCCATGTAGTTCCATAGTACCTATCCGATCTGCGATGTAACTGAATTAGGTAAGAGATGGCACGGGCCTGGAAGGTAGGGGAGTTGCAGGCATGGCAACAGGCTATCGCAAGACCGTAGCAAGCCCTGTTGAAATAAGCAATACAAAGAAGCCGTATGAGTTCTTAATACTTTGTGACAATACAAGCCAGTCAATGATTGTTCCCTGAGCATGCATCCATGCAACTTCCTAAATTTTACACAGAAGAAAACGCCTAATAATAAATATCATGAGTAAGGACGTCATAAATGTAAGACGTTGCGCGGTCTATGTGGTAATTGCGTTCACGGCGTTCGCCCGCCGCCGTGCAAGCAGGTGGCTGCTGACGCACTGGACACACTGATGTGAAACATGATGGCTGTCGTATACTTTTGCATATTGCACGGTTTTGCGTTATGAAATGGCTCCTAGGAGGATGGTCTTCGCAACTGCCTTCTTCAGCTTTACATGTGCGTTATCGTTAAGCTTCAGAGTCAACCCATCAACGCCCCTAGAACTCATCACGTGCTGCACAGTCTAAAACAATATTCAACTCTTAGCTAAGTGGCTCGAATCTTTTCGAAGCTGCCGCGCCTGCCAAATAACTCACAGTTTTTTATGACGAGCTTATGTAGCTTGATGGGAAATAATTAGCAGGAAACTTGGGTGCACATATGGAACCCCTATCATAAAGGAACCTGCCACCTGGTTCAAACTCTCTAGCCCTCGACAGCGACTTTAAGATCGTATGTATTAATCCTACCTGCTGAAAAAACAAACTCAATTAATTTGAGTTCCAAGCTGCCATACGCGCTCCTCGGCTTTGGGGTGACTACTACTCGTCCGCCGCCCTCGGTCGCGGACACTCAATCGACCAGCGCCATTCCTGGGCCCAAGTCGCAGCAAGTATGGTCTCGCGCATGTGCACTTCCAACCTCGCTCCCGAACGGAGGGGTAAGGACAGCTTCTCATCAGTAGCGACGGAACCCCGCGGCGTCGTTGGTGGATCAGTCGCGCCCCAGCGCCTGGGCATCGCTTCCTCTTACTTTCAAACCTTCTCTGGCCACGAAGAATTTCGCAACTGCAAGCGCGTCTACAAGAAGCTGACGGAAGAACATTGGCGTTCCCACCGCTGCTGCCGCCACGGACGTTTCCCCTTGCTGTATTCCTTCTTCATGTACTTGACGTTACTACTGTTGCTGGGGCCAAGCCATAACGTCTCCCAGGCACTGGCGTTTGCAATTGTATCCCTACCCACAAGTCAAGGAACTGCAGCTATGCCGGCCGCGGGGAAGCCGGCGCCACGATCCATTCCGCCACCATTGCCTACAAGGGCAACACCTCTACCCCGGCTTGCCCCGCCGCCTTCGAAATTGCCGACAGAGCCCAGCGACGGGTAAGGTTCTGTCGATGCGGGCCCGAGTCGATGAACACAGTAACTCCCTCCATAACAGCAGGCAGTTCATCACTCTGGCATTCCATTCGTAACCCTGCCTCGCAGCCTCTCTCGCTCTGAAGTCGCTACCCTTGGCTTTGGAGTGCCCTTACAAAACCGCACCGCTTTCCGTTGCCCCAATGACACACCATTTGTTGGGCATGTCGTCGCCTTCTTACCTGGCATAGACGCCAGCCTACGGCTCCGCCGCTTGTGAAAGCTGAACCCGCGCGTAAACCCGCCACTCGTGAAAGTGTTACCCCCCCGCGTGAATTTGTGCGGATGCGAACTAACCGTGCTGCGCAGGGGGAACTCAGGAGGCGAGGACATAACTTTTTCCGGTGAGTGAGTGAGTTAGTGAGTTAGTGAGTGAATGAGTGAGTGAATGATGAATGAAGGATGAATGAATGAATGAATGAAGGATGAATGAATGAATGAATGAATGAATGAGTGAATGAATGAGTGAGTGAATGAATGAGTGAGTGAGTGAATGAGGGCCGCTCCAGTGCGAAAGGGTGGGAGCGTCTGGGAAGGAGTTGGGAAGTGAGAAATAATCCCGGACAGTGGGCAGCTCCCCCGCAGCATTGGATGATTATTAGGACGACCTGAGAGGTGCTTTGCGGCCCCTGTGAAAGCGGTCCATTCAAGAGCTCAGCCCGTCCAGTTCACGCGCATCCGGGAGAGCTGGACGGCCTGAGCTCTTGAATGGACCGCTTTCATCGGGGTCCTCAACTCTGTTAGGACTGAGCTGCTGACCTACCCTGAATAGTCCCTGGGGAGTCGCATCTGGTGCGAAGGCCCCACCGGTTCCCTTCCGAAGTGCATCCTTGGGTCCCACAACACGCCGGCAGAGGGCGGCCGGATGCCACATCCTGGACTCCAAACACGTCAGGACTCCTAATATGTTCCTTAAACTCCCCCACAAACACGTGCTCCCGCTGCTGCAGTGCCCTCTGGGGGTTCGGACACTCTGAGCTGCATGCTGAGCTTTCCGATCGGCAGTCCGGATAGCGATGCCATAGCAATGCTGATGAGGCCGGGCAGCAGCCCGCTCATCTTCCCTAGTGGTACAGGGTAAGAGCTTTCGGTGGAGGGATGGGAACAAATTTGTGAGCTGGGGGAGTTGTGAGAGAAACAAACTACCAGCGGGACGGCTAACTACCATCAACCAACCAACCGACCATGGCGGACGTGGGCACGGGTGCTGTGTAAAGCCATCCCGTTGGATGAAATATTTCCGAATAGGGATACAGCTTAGTAAGTGAGCCCAGAGAGATGCGAAAGGACCAGACTGGGGCTGTGCTGCTAAAGTACAGGGGCTGATGACAAACTCGTTCATCCCCTTAAGTTCCCAGAGATGGTTTTATACAGTTGCATGATTCACTCTTCTGCCCACCTACCGCCTACTCCTCCTGCCGTACCTGCCTGTGCCTTTCCGTCAACGTCATGCAGCTTTCCGTCAGAGCTGTCTGGTAACGACTGCGGCTGCGGGTCGACGCCTTACGAGCTAGTTTGGGGTGCAGAGGCGCAAATCGGCTCCAGGTCGGTGTCTGCTGCTCGCTTGGCCTTTTAAGCTCCGCCGCATACCGGAGCCTCATCCAACATTGCTTAGTTGCAGCTGTACTGCTACTGCTTATCCCAAAGTCGCTAACGACCAGTCGTTAGCCGTTGGCAGTTGCGGTTATTGAAAGTTTAGTTGGGAGCTATTTTTACAGCTTTAAGGACCTGACATCGCGGCCTGGGGAGCGTTGCTCCCCAGGAGCAACGCTCCCTTCCCTCAACAACCCCCGTGATTTAATTCGCAAAAAATAGACCACGGTCCGTAGACGTCACCGACCGACCGTATTCCAGGCTTAGCGTCTTGGCGATCCATCTGATTATTCTTTCCCTCTCCACCACCGCACTGATCTGGCCGCCAGCCAAAAACTCTTTCCATGTTACCGCATGCTCTACTACCCAAACCACATCCACCACACGCACATACCTGTGAAATAGAAATGTTGTCTTGTACCCCCCCCATTTCCGTCTTGCGGCTCAGAATATCAAAAAAACACAAAGACGCCACCCCACCCCACCCCACCACACGCACACCTTGGGCCCACAGGTCCTTCTACCCCTTCAAGTTGAATTCCCTGCCGTCCTCGGCCACTGCCCTTGGGCAGCTTAG